TCAAAAGTAAATAAAGGGGTCAGGGATTTAGCTCAGCTGTGAGTAAGTGCCTGCCTAGCAAGTGTGAGGTTGTGAGTTCAATCCCCAGGATAAAAAAAAAAGTAAATAAAAGCTAGGCGTGGTGGCACTTGCCTATAATCCCAGCACTTACCAGGCCAGGATGGGCACCACAATGAGTTCAAAGCTAGCTTAAATTGTATATCAAGACTCTGTCTCCAAAAAAATACTACTAACCCACAAAGAAGTGCCCTATAGCTACTACACTTCTAAACTTCGTGTAGTAAATAATTTGTTTTAAGTTAAACCACTTAATCATAAACCACTTGACATTCTAGAATTTTGTTCAACCTACTTCCTCTGGTCTGGAAAGCAACTGTGAACTAGAGTTACAACTGAAGCTCATTTAAGCAGCACAGCACTTTTTACTACCAGAGAAGACTGCTACATGTATCCTGACATGCCCAAAGAGCTATGATCACACGAGGGTGATTCACACAGCAATCACACCATCTGAACTCAGGATGCATTATGGCGAAGAAGTCTCATGTATATTAATCAGATTCCTCCTGCCTCCATTTTTAGCAATAAAGAGACTCACTGTTTTGTTTTGTTTTTTGATACAGGGTCTCAGTAAATAGCTCAGGCTGGCCTTGAACTCACTAGGTAGCCTAACCATCTTCAGACCCACAGTAACCCTCCTGCGCCAGCCTCCAGCATGCTGGGATTACAGACATATACTACCACCCTTGGCAGGGACTAACTTTATTACAAATGTCCCACAATCACAGGCTTGTCTCTCTGGATTTATAATTTTAATATCAGCTTGAAAATGTGCTTTGACCCCTATACCAAACAGCATCCTTTTATAAATGTCTTACAGCATTACAAAAATAGCCCTAAATTCCCAGCCCTCCATGAATGTAAATCATATGTAATATGGTATTCCAACAGCTACTGACACAGGCCAATTCCTAACAACAGAGGAATTCTGGATTTTATAAAGAATGCATGTATGACTTTACTTTTGGACTTATTCAGAAAACATAGCTCTGGTGGCAAAAATAATTTATATTTTATATATACCTAAATATTTAGCTGCCAAAAGATAGAAATGGGTTGGAGATATAGCTCAGCAGCACAGCATCTGCCTGATAAGCATGAGATCATGAGTTTGATCCCAGTACCAAAAAAAAGGCTTTTGGCCAAGGATTTAGCTTAATGGTGTAAGCACTTGCCTGGCAAGCGCAAGGTCATGACTTCAATCCTAGGTACACACACACACACACACACACACACACAAAAGTAGAACAGTTCAAATTAGTTTTATTTGAAAAAGGAAAAATATCAGTAATACCAAATTACAAAAGTACCACTCACCTTTCTGTTCCATAAGCACACAATGTTCACTGTACAAAAGCCCTAAAAATTGAGGCACGTGCAAAAGGAAAGAATAGACAAGGCCTCCGCATGTCTGCTGCAATGCACTAATATATACCCTATTGGACTGCCCTATGCAAATACACACACACACACACACACACACACACACACACACGTACAAATGCAAAATAATTCTATGTATTAAGATATGTTTCATTTACCAACTGTTCATTTCTGGGTAGACCTGCTAGTGTCAACACAGTGCAGATCCCACGAGACCATTAGAGAAGGGCCAGTCTACACCTGTGCCCAACATCTTTATCTGCACATTCTAATTCTCCACTGCAAGGTGGGAAAAGCTGCATCAACAGCACCCTGACTAGGATTTCAACAGAGTCCCTAGGAAAGTCCAGCCCAACCTCCTGAGAAGTATCGGGCACACACAAGCACTTACTGCCTGCCACCAGGCACCAATCAGGCACCTGCACTGCCTCTGCTGATTCCTTTAACAATCCTAGGAGGCTGCACAGGCTGACCCCCTGCCCAAACACAGTCTACCAAATTTGCATGCTCTACTCTCTGTTGTGTTCTGGATCATTCTGTAATCTGTGCTTCACACATCTCTCTGTGGAAACCACTCATATGTACAAAGTCTTGGTGAGAGCGGTCCTGGGTGTAACCTACAACACTTCCCAACACACGGGGTGGAGGGGCTGTGATGCTTCCCTCTTACGGCCCCACCAGAGAATCAAGATGGTGCTTTCTCTCTTTAGTCACTGTCTGGTTTGGTGACCCTCTGTGGAGTTCAGTGGACCCTGTTCAGGATTCAGCTTCCCTGAGTAACACACAGCCTGGACAAATTCACTGTTACCTGCTCATATTGTTTTAAAGTATCTGCTTTGCACCATGCAAGGTAATCAACACAGCTCCCCTACCTATGAGAAAATAACTCAGAGCCTGCAAAATTACATTAAGACTTTTTGTAACCCAGGCTGGTGTCCCACATCTGTAATCCTAACACTTCAAAAGCCTGAGGCAAGAGAATCACAGGTTTAGCCTGAGCTTAACCTGGGCAACTCAGTGTCTTAGTGAAACCCTGTCTCAAAATATAAAACTAAAAACAGGGTGCAAGCCCCATATGGTGGCACACACCTGTGATCCTTGTACTTGTAAGGCTGCAGCAGGAGGATCGCTGAGTTTGAGGCTTGCCTGGATTATACAGTGAGTTTAAGACCACCTTGTATGACAGAGCAAGAGCCTATATCAAAAAGCAAAAAACAACAACAAAAACAAATGAAAGTTTAAAATAAAACTAATTTTTTTTAAAAGCACAGGTCAAGAGGGTTGGGGATTTAGCTCAGCGGCATAAGCACCTGCCTTGCAAGCAGGCAGTCGTGAGTTTGATCCTCGGTACCGATAAAAACGAAAAAGACCAAAAAAAAAAAAAAAAAACCTCAGTACAGTGAAATAGCTACAATAAGTTATTTTATTTTTATTTTTAGTATTTTACTAATGAAACTGAGCAAAAAGATACCAAAAACTATGGGACTATAACTCTGTAAAACTTTGTTTTATGTATTATTTACTGGTTATCTGAGGTTTTTTGGGTTTTTTTTTTTTGTCTTTTTCCTTTTTACCGGTAACGGGGATTGAACTCACGACTGCCTGCTTGCAAGGCAGGCGCTTACGCCGCTGAGCTAAATCCCCAGCCCCTTTGGGGGGGTTTTTTGAGACTGGCATTAATCTTGCAGTAGTCCTCTTACCTCAGCCTCCTGAGTCCTAGGTTTACAGAGAGGCACTACCACATTAAGCCTGAGTATGAATACTGTAATTTTACCTAACATTATTTCAACTAAATATTGCAAAGTGAAAGGAACTTACTAAAACCTGGAGTGATATGAAAGACTAAAGCAGTGATGGAGAACCTTTTAGAACTTTCAAAGATAACAAACAGCAGCTTGCTACACACATGCTGTAGGTTCACCACCATAGGCTACAGTAAGGATTCTATTGTATCACCAACCAGTTTTGTTTTATCAATAGAAAGAGATATATACTTAGTGGCACAGTAGCACACACATCCCACTTCCAATTCCAGCTAATCTGGCAGCTGATGCAGAAAGTAGACTAAGCAATTGAATATAACTCTGTCTTGAAATAAAAAGACTTGGGGATGCAGCAGGTAAGGCTCTGGGTTTGATCCCCAGTACGGCAAAAATGGGGAGTGGCTGGGGATGTAGCTCAGTGGTACAGTGCTAGTCTGGGAGTGGGAAACAGGATTGACCCCAGGTACTGGAGAGGATGAGAAAGAGAGAAAAATAGAGCAAGATGCATCACACCGTTTCTCTTAACATGAGACCCCAAACAAACAATCTAAAGAGCAAAATAAGAGACACGTTAAGAAACAAGGAAGCAAGCTGGGTAGGGATGGAAAAAAGATGGGAGAAAGGGAGCAGGGGGAATAAAGATAACCAAGTATTTGTAGATATCAATCCCCAAGCTGAATGCAATCATTATGTATCATACACATATAACAATAATTTTTTAATTAAGCAATTAAATAAAGGAATGGAAAGAAGACTATTTTTACATCCAATGACAGCAATCACTATTCACATTTCATTAAAGGCTTTGCTTAGGCAGACTTCCTCCCCCTCCTCCAGCAGCAGCAAACGCGGTGCTGTCCTTAAAAAGCCCAATGATTCAAAACCACAAGCCTCATCATTGATCCCAGAACTACAGCTGCTTCACTTGGGACAGGAGACAGGGCAACCTCTGAGACTATGACCCAGGACCCTAAGCAAATGCAACAATATGACTGCAAAGCAAGCTCCAACACCTGCACTTAAATTGCAGAAAACACCCGGGAGAGTTTAAGCTGAAACTTACACATACATGCCTGCATTTTCCTGCGATCTCATAGGCACCCATGCCATCTACGATGATCTGCTCTCACTAGGTGCGAGTCCAACACAATACTTGAAATTGCGCATAAAACAATGTGTGTCTCATGACTTGACATATAAATGTTTCCAAAGCTTTTTCTTCTCTAATTAAAATGTCTTTAAACCAACGCAACTTAAGAGTTCTAAGAATGTTGTAAGAATACAACTTGGGGGGGGGTATTTTTTTAGGAACCAACTCGGTCTTTGGACACGGTCCTACCAATCCTATACACACCTGGGAGTACCCATGGAGGCACAAGGGCGGCACAGTCCGCACGCGGAACCCAACTAAGAATGAATACTTTTCAATTCCCCAGTGCCTGCACCGCACACGGGCTCCGGTGCTCCAACGCCTGGGAAGGCGGGGGAGGCGGGCTGGCCAGGCCGCACCCGGCGCTGTCAGGCACCTCGCAGGTGGCATCCGCGCAGCCGCCAGAAACTTCCAGGGGGCACTTTCCGGTCGCGCCAGGCGGGCCCAGCTGGGAGCGCGGCGCGGCCAGAGAGGCGCGGGTCCGACACGGGATGCTGCGGCGCCCGGCCCGGGGCCCGCTCCCGGCCAGCGCCACCCTCGCACCTCTAGCTGTCAGCGCGCGGCTGGCCCGTTATCCGTCGCTCCTCGCGAGGGGGCCGCGACCGCTCCCGCCCACCCGGGACCCCCCCATACCCTCCGCTTACCTCGAAGTAGCCTCCGGCGGCTCCGCCCGCGCCCATGGGCCCGTGGGCCGCCACCGCACCGCCCAGCAGGCCCGCCGCGCCGCCGGGGCCCGGGGCCTGGGGACCGCGCAGCGCCGCCGCCGGGCCGGCCTTGCCACCACCCGAGCTGCCGCCACGCTTGTTCTTCCGACGCTTGGCCCCGCGCTTCGCGTCGGCCGGGCTCATGGCGGGCGGCGGGCAGCAGGCGGCGGGGTGCGGCGGCGGCGGGTGGGAAGGGGCGCGGGCGCGGGGCCGCGGGCGGCGGGAGGGCGGTGGCGGCGGGCGCTGCGGCCGACCGGCCAGGCGGGGGGCGCGGCGTGGGATCGCCTCCTGAGAGGACGGGCGGGGCGGCAGGAGCTCGGGCGGCCGGGGGTGGGAGAGACGACGAGTCCACCGGGCCGGCGCCGCCTCTGACCAGAGTTAGAGTCCAATATGGCGGACACAAGGGGAAAGGGATCCCAGTTTACATCGGGGGAGGGGGAAGCAGGGGCGGAGGGGGAGGGGCGCGGGCGCCCGCTCCGCTTCACTCCGCCCTCCTGGGCGCCACCGCCCCTCTCCTTTCCCTCCGCCGGCCGCCAACTCGCCGTCGCGCGGGGCCCTCCGGGAGCTGAAGTCCACAATGCATGCCCGCCGCCATGGGGTCACCCAGCGCGAGACTACGATTCCAGTCGTGCCTTGCGCGACGGAGGGCAGTCGGAGCAGGGCGCGGACTGACGTCAGTGCCTCTCAGCCTTGTGGGCGCTGTAGTCGGCGGTGGGGTGGGGTGGGGTGGGCTCTGGGGTGGGCTGGGGTGGGCTGGGGCGGGGCGGGGCGGGGCAGGCGCGGGCCGGGGACTGGGGGGCAATCAGCTCCGCGTCTGTGGGTTGTTGATATTCTCCTGCCGCCGCCCGCGCGTACCACACCTGCGGGCAACGGCTCCCTGAGCTTGACCCGCTGGGGCTTGGGTGCGCTTCTTCCGCCTGCAGCCGTGTGACCTTGGGCCCGCCCTGGCCACGGTGGGTGGGTGGGTTGGCTGCGCCGGGGCGGGTGCGCAGGTTGAAGCCCGGTGGCGCTGTGGGTGTCCGGGGCCCCAAAGGCTGCACTCCTTCCTTTTGTCCGCCGGGATTAGGGGCAGCCTCCACCATCACACATCCACCCCCCGACCCGGCACTGCATCCCGCGAGGCCTCACATCCAATCGGAGATCTGGGTCACGGCCCAAACCTGCCCTGGAGCCCTGCGGGTCACCAGCAAGTCCCAGGTAGAGCTCCGCCCTGGTACCCACAGAGGGGCTTCGCCTGGGCCCCGCACTCGGAGGCTGGTGCACCGCGTGGCCTGGCGCTCTGAAGCCTCCGCCGCCGCCGCACCCTCTCCTGGGCCTGTCAGTGTCGCCGCCCTTACACACCCGCACGGCTAAGGTGATCAAGACAACCCTGTGCTCCAGGCCTGTCCGGGACTCGCCTACCGTACCGGAAGGTCTTGAGCAACCCCTCCAACTGAAGTGCTGCAAGGCCGCCTGCCCTCCACTGGGAGAGGCCCCTGCTCCCCTCTCTGCGGCTGGTCTATACCTCTTTTGTCCCACAGCACTGTGCTTTCCCTGTCGTGGCCGCCTGGCATGGGATTGAGATCCCAGAAGTGTCACTAGAATCCCCAGAGAGGAAATGTCTTGGGGGCAGGAGAGGATGTGGGAGTGGCTTACGACTCTGAGCCCCAACCCTTATCAAGCAAGGGGCTCGCGTTTGCGGAGTGCAGGAGTGACCTGATGTCCGCCTGGCTCACAGTTATGCACCTGCCGCTGCCTGCTGCCAATCATTTCGTTTAATCCACATCACCACTCTCGCAGGAAAGTCCCAAGTTCAAGCCCAGCCTGGACAATTTAACATCATCCGGTCTCCAGAAAAAAATCCTAGGTGGCGGGAGGGCGGTGGCACATAACTTAGTGCAAAGGTGATCCTGGGCTTAGTCCCCAGGACTGAGTGGGAGGAAAGCCTAGGGGGTCAGCGCAGCCTGGCCCTGACCCCTCAAAACCGCTGTGGCTGGTGCAAGAAAACGCGGAGAAGGCGTCTTTATTCCGGACGCCGTGGGGGCTGTGGCAGCTGTGAACACAGAAGGGATGTGTACTTGTGAGAGAACTTAATACTCTGGGTACAACTATGCCAGAAGACCCAGACCAGGGCCAGTACTGGTGGCAGAGCCTCCTAAGGGATGGAGATGCTCCTGGCAGACCACAAAGTGATTCGCAGCCCTTTTATTTGGGGTGTTGAAGATTAAACTGAGGGCGACTGCCCTTACCTGATCTCACTGTCCCAGCCTTCAGACTTTTGAGAATTAAGTTTGTGAACTACCCAGTTCGCAGTTTTTTGTCACAGCAACTCAAATGCAATAAGACCCTTCCTGGGGAAAAATTAGCAAGAAATTAAATGCAAGAATACGATTTTTTTTTTTTTTTTTTTTTGGTCTCAGCTGGGGATGTAGCTCAGTGGTGCAGCACCTGCCTGGCAAGTTCAAACTCCTGAGTTTGATTCCACAGATCATTGTAATAGAGTCAGGCACAATCCCAGCATTTTGGAGGCTGAGACAGGAGGATCACATTAGCCTGGGCTACATAGTTCAAGGTCAACCTGAACTGCACATGGAGACCCTATCCCTCCCCAAAAAAGAAAGAAAATAACAAAGGAACAAAGCTGAGCATGGTAGTGCCTGATGCCTGTAATTCTGGGCTACACAGTGAGCTCAAGGCCAGCCTGGCTACATAGTAAGCAAGACCTGTCTCAACTCTACTCCCCAAAAAGAGACAAAATAGGACATTTTTAGATTAATGGGTATACAATTTAACAGGTTATGGTGGCTTACATCTATAGTCGTAGCATTTGGGATACTGAGGCAAAAGTACAGAAAGTTCAAGGCCGAATTGGGCGATTTAGCGAGATCCTGTCTCAATAAGAAAAACATTCTTAAAATATTTATAAAAAGAAAGGTCCTACGTATTGAAACCTGTAATTGCAGAGCACATTTACAGGCACAAACTTGTAATTGCAGAGCTCACAAGGCTGAGGCAGGAAGGTTTAAATTCAAGGCCAATGTGGGAAGACCTTGTCTCAAAAAAATAAGCAAACAAAATTGTTGCATACCAAAAAAAAGAACATGCAAAAACCAGATATGTGAATCAAAATACATCACTAAAAATTTCCATCCATTTGTAATTCATAAATTAAAACACACAACCATAATGAAAAAGAAGTGGGTAAAATGACAAATTTTCAGGTTTTCATAATTTCATGGATGCAATAACTGGATTGGACAAAAACAATAGAGTAGTTGCTAAAAAGAAGATGTATCATGTACATGTACCAGATATCCACAATGAAAGTAGTCTTTATGTAATGCAAACGTACTAATAACAAAATGAAAACAAAAAATTGCTGAAGGACCACTGAGGCATTTTTAAAAAATATGCCTGGCATGATGGTGCATGCTTGCTATTCCAGCACTTGGGAGGCTGAGGCAGGATGATCACACATTCAAGGCCAGCCTGTACAGTTTAGCAAGACTTTGTCTAAAAATAAAAGTTTTTTTTGTTTTGTTTTTATGAAATACTTTAAAAGGACTAGGGGCTGGGGTTTAGCTCAATGGCATAAGCGCCTGCCTAGCAAGCACAAGGTCATGAGTTTGATCTCCGGTACCACACACAAAAAAATAAAGATAATTACCTATTAGGCTCAAATTTTGGATTGTCCAGAGTGCTGGGCTCACAGGCATGTTTTTATCATGAGAACGCACTGGATTTCATCAAAAGCCTTTCCCACTTTCACAGTGCTAACGTGGTACCTGGGGTCATGACACTGACTGCCATTGTGCTCCTGGTCATGATGTGCAATGGCTTAGCATGTTGTGGTCTGGTTTGCTAGTATTTCTGTATTTATATGCACAAGAGATTGTCCTGATTTCTTATATCTTATGAGGTTCAGTGTCAGGGCACTACTGAGCTTATGGAAATGAGTGTTTTTTGGAAAAGTTTAAAAATATTGGCATTAGTTCCTTGTCACATACTTGACAGAATTTACCAGTAAAACCATGTCTTGGCGTTTTTTCTTTTTTGAGACAGGGTCTCACTGTGTGCCGGCGACACTGCCAGGCTCAGTGAGGCAGATGTGAACACAAATGCTGAGAATTCAAATGAGAATTAGGTGGGTCACAAGGATTTGATGGATTACCAAGTCTTGTGTGCAAAAATCAGCTGTTTCTGTATTACAGCATCAACAGCAGTGTAGTAAGGACATCGTCCAACAGCTTCCACAACAGGAACTGGGAGCAGCACCATGGAGTGAAGTTGGAAGCCCTTGAGCCCCGGCTATCTGGTCCCCGAGTGTCCTCAGGCAGGAGTCCTGTGGATCAGGGCTGCTGCTCCAGGGGCTGAGAATCTTGGCCAGGTTGGAGGCCTCTGCTCCGTCGTTGTCTTCCCCTAGACAAACCTGGGACTGGGCCACCTTGGGCTCAGCCGCCCTCCTCACGGGAGCCCTCCCACAGAGGCCAAGTTTCCCAAGGCGGCTCCTGGAAGCCTCTGGCGCCAGGCAGCTTTGGTTTTTAGCAGTCCAGGAGGGAAGCAAGTTGGCTGGGGTCCGAGCACATGGTAACTCTCTGGCCTCTCTAGCCACATTCACTGCTGTACTTGGTGTAGTGGGCTCCAGCCTCAGGCAACCTGCTCTCCCCTCCGAGGTGCGCACAGGAATTGTACACCCCCACTAATAGCCCTACTGCTCAGGAGCAAATCATACACACACTTGATTCAAATTAATGGTTTTATTTTCATCTTTAACACTAGCGGGAGTTCAAAACAGACTGATGTCCATGGATACAGTTTAAATGTAACAAGAAAGAAGTGAACTATGTACATTGAGGAAAGGGATTTTTTTCACACCACCTTTTCTAGTTTGCAGTTTTTGATGAGTAGAAACTAATAAGTTTTCCCAATTCAATTTAGGATGAATACAATTTATGATCAACCCTGTGTGCTAAAATGAAACAATCTGAACCGCAAGTCACTGTACTTACTGGTCACCGGCTGGAAGGCTGCCTGGCCTTCCCTCTGGGCAGCATCAGAGGGGAACATGAGCATCTCACTGACAGCCAAGAAGACAGATTCAGTGGCTGCGATGACCCAGTGTAGGGCAGGTCCACCACCACAATGGGGGCTGGGCCCTCTCCTGCTTCATGGAGAAAATTATTACGAAGCCAAACAATTAAAAAAAATAAAAATAAAAAGAATGACGCATAAACCACTTTCTGCTTAGAGGGGAGAGATGTTCCTTCAGCCCCAAGTAAAGTGAATTCTGTGCTGAGTCCCTGCTCCTTCAGAAGGGGACTTGAAGGTTGGTTATTGCTAGCGAAGCCAGAGTGGCCCCGCTCCACCTCAAAGGTGTCATGCCAACAGCTACTGGCTTGCCTTGAAGCTCTGAGGACGGAGGTGGAGACGGGCAGGCTGGCCTGCGGGACCATTCTCCACTGCCCCTGGTCCTGGTGCCCTCGCAGCTAGTTCGGGCCCTTTAGTGGCCCTGAGGTACCACATACTTGTGGGTTGAGCAGAGGCTGTTAGCTGGACTCTGTGGGGATGGACAGCCACCAAGTATGCCAATCAAAACCCACAGAGCAGGTGAAAAGCAGCTTTGGAAATGTCACCCAGTGGGAGGGGGTAAAAGCCAGTGCCAAGCCAGGTCAGCCAGGCTGGCATCTCCTAAGTGGAGACAGGGACTTGGGTAGAAGTGGAAATGAGCGGCTATAAGGCCACAATTGCTGCCGCCACCACCCCCCGCATCTACCAAGGTAGACACCAGGCAGTGGGCACAGAGGGCCAGAGGGTACTTGGCCAGTGCAGGACGGCTCTCACCAGAGAAGGGACACCAGATGCAAACCTGCTCCCCAGTTTGTGTGTCCTGTGCCAGGTGGGAAACTCTGGAGCATGGATAGGTTCCTGAGAAGGGCTGGAGCGCGGAGATGGGCAGATGGGCACCACTCCGCAGACGGCTCAAGGACTGTGAGGTGGCAGTGCTGCCTCCCGACTACTGAGACATGGGTGAGAATGGGCTTTATTGCACTTTTCGTTCTTAGGAAACAGGGATTGCCCTGCAGAGGTCCCCGAGATTTGCAGAGAACATTACGCATCCATGGTAAAGATACAGGCAGAGTCGCAGGTCGCCTCCACCCCTGAGGGAAGGCAAGCCTAGGGGCTGCCCCTGCTCTGGGATTCTTGGGCCAAGCAGGCCAGGTCTGGCTCAAGCACTAGACACATCTTCCAACAAGGAAACTTCTTGGCACATGAGCAGACTCTGCAAAGGCGCGAGCCCAGGCTTCAGCTCCACTGTGCCTCACTCCCTTTCTCCTGCTTTGGGGCCAGGATACTGAGGGGAGCAGAGGTGAGGAGCCAGGGCTGGAGCACCTTTGGGTGCAGCTCCATAGCATCGAAGTTGGGTAACAAAAGGATCTAAGAGGATGGGGAAAGAAGGAGCAGTTTACATGTCAGACGTTGGCTTTGAAACAGTCTTGTTGCGTCCAGGAAACTGGAGGCAGAGAGCATGCAGAAAGCCCAGCCAGGCTGGCTAGCTGGCTGTCCATCTGGCTCTCCGGGGAGACCTGGAGCTCTTCATATATAAATGGGGTGGTACCGTTTGTGGCTGATCTTCTTCCTACAAGTCGGGCAAGTGTTAGCATTCTTCAGGGAGTCTCGGAGGCACTGGCTACAGAAGACATGGCCACACTCTGTAGAGACAATGAGACGTCCATTCTGCACGATCTAGGAGACAGGAAAAACAGCCTTCGAACATATCCTTGTCCCAGAGCACCTTCCTCCACCATCACTGAGATGAGGGGCAGGGGAGAAAGGGGAAAGGGCCAGCACACAGGAGGAACCCAGTTTCCAGCAGGAGCCACCTGAGGGGTGGCAAAGGTAAACACCAGAAGCCTGTGGTTGAAGCCAGGATGAGAAACCCAGAGGCTGCCTGCCATCCAAGCATAGGAAGCAGAGGCAGAGGACTATGGAATGTGGAGCAGCTGGCATCTGCACTGCACACAGATTTGCAGTGAGCCAGGCCACCTGGGCACAGCCGTGGGCAGGGGTCCTCTAAAGAGTAGAGCTCGCCTCACCCCGGTCACTCACCTCCGAGTATCCATCCATGCAGATGGGACAGCTAACGGTGCCAGAGGGCCTGAAACCACAGTACTTTGCATTAGTTTCTCAGTAAACACAGCAAACACAGCACTTGAATACCGGGTCTGCCTCACACTAGGCCCCTCCCTGGGCCTGCCCACCTTATCTCAAGCCTCAGAGACTACGGCAGCCTCCTCCTAGCCAGGAGAAACGGGCTGAGAAAGTGCCCTACCTGCTCTGGCCCCATTACACCAGCTCCTGGTCTCCCACCAAACCCGGCAGTACAGGGGGCATACGGGTACCTCAATCTTGTGGTGCTCTCATCCCTGGCACTTCGGGGGGCATGGGTGGTGACATACACATCCCTGTCCCTGGACAGCTCCTCATCATCACTGCTCACCACGCAGCTGTCAGTGTGGTCCTGGCGCTGGCTCCTCACGGTCCTCCGTGGCCGCCTTCTCTCTACAGTAAGAGTATATTTTCAGGTGGACACTCCCACTAGCAGCCTGCCCTGGGCCTCTGGGGATAGCTCTCAGGGAAGCACTGGAGAGACTTCTGTTGCTCCAGTGCCACCCGAGGAAGCCCACTCATCATACACTCCAGCTAGCTGCCAGCTAGTGGGCCTTGAGGTGCACGACAGCTCACATGGCATATGGATGTGGTTCTTCAGTCTGGTGAGGCCTACTGTGCCACAGCCCCTTACCCACACCGTTCTCTTCCCAGAGAAAAAGAACATGAAACCACTAACCTTCAACGATCTGAAAAAGGAAGAAAAAAACAAAAGAGAAAGTGCGATCAGCTTGACTTTAGTGACAGATACATTTAAAGTTCTTAGCATGTGACCCTTTAGAGAACCCTTGTCCCACCGAGGAGACACATGCCCACCTGGTCATCTCCCGTCAGCAGCTGATAAGCAGAGGCCAGCACTGTCTGGAGGCCTGAGCACAGCCATACCAGCCCCTGGCTGTGTGATCCTGAGGTTACTTATGGCCTGGAAGCCGCAGCTTCCCATTTCCCAAAGCAGAAACTGTGAGCTCGGTGAACTCTGACCACTGCCAAAGAGGCAGCCTTGGCTTGGAGAAGGGTCTGCAGTGCTATGCTTACTAACACAACTCAGAAGCAAGCAGGCCAGCTGTGGACCAGGAAGCAACACCCCACGGGGCTGACACAGCCTCTGCAAGCCCCTGCCCAGGTTCAAAAGACACATGAAGACAACTCTCAACAGCGAAATCTAGTCAGCTGGACACCCATCACCTGAGGGCTGGTCTAGCATGTTCAGCAAATGCCCTACCCTACCGTGACACAAAGGTCTAATGGCATCTGACACCCTTGTAGATAGTCACACTACTATTAGGCACTGCCTCCATCCTGCCTTTAGCAGGCTACTTGTATCCCTGCAAGCTCTAAAGGTTTAGCACACTGGGCTGCAGCAGTGTCTCCTTAGCCAAGGATTCCAGTGCCAGGGACAGCCCAACTCTTGAGCTCTGGCCAGCGGCACACATGAGTCTGGAGAACTGGCCTGCAGCTGGCTCTTCTAGGGCCCCAGAGCCTAGCACACCATTTTCCACCCAGTCTGAGCATCCCCAAAGCAGGTGCAGCTCCTAAGTCCTGGCACCCCAGACACCGGGCCTGCCCTTTGCAGATGAGCAAAGAATCCATCCAGGAACTGTGGGTGCTTCCCTCCCGGGGCCTGCAGAGGGTGACTGGACACCTGTGGACCATATACATAGGAACAAGGGCTGCACATGGTGCTGGCCAGGGGTCTCCAAGAGGTGGCAAAAAAAAGGACGCTCTGCAAGCATCTTCAAAGCTTGGTCCCTGCCTCAGAGGAGCTTGCTGGAGATGGGAGGGGATGGTGAAGAAAAGGGCATGGGACACCACCAGTGTCCACCTGTCTGGCTGACAGACAGACAGAAGCACAGACAGCTCAAGACATCTGGTCTGGATGGCCGAATTTTCTTCTTCTCCTGTTTTGGATTTTTGAGACAGGGTCGGTGCAGCTCAGACTGGCCTCTGCCTCATGCTTCTCCTGCATGGTCTTCTCAGTGCGGCTGGCCTAACAAGGACCCAGGTCCTGTTGAACACTCCAGTTATGTCTGTGGGGAGCTGGCCCAGGATTGAGGACACACACTCCACTTTCTCTCCTGCCCTGTTTCTACTTTTTCTTCTTTTACACTACTGTGGGTGTCTCCAGTGCTTCTGCACTGAGCTACATCCCCAGCTGCCACCCCATTTTTTTTGTTTCTTAGTTTGGTATCAGTAATTGAACTCAGGGCCTTGCACATGCCAAGCATTTGCTATTTTGGTTTTTTGAGATAGGGTTGCACTATGTAGTTCAGCCTGGCCTTGAATTTAACTATGTCTCCCCCAAACTGGCCTCAAACTCAAGATGATGACCCTCTTGCCTTAGCCTCCTGAGTACTAGGAATAAGGCATGTGCTCCCATACCCAGCTTTAGTTTTTGTTAGTGCATACTGGCACCATGATTATATTCACCATAGGAGTTGGGACATGTACTCCTGCCTTCCTTATTTTTTTTACTTTGAGACAGGATCTTACTAAATTGCTAAATCATCCCAGGCTGGGCTCAAACTTGATCCTCCTGCCTCAGCCTTCTGGAATAAAAGGATCATAGGCTTGCTGGGCACTGCTGGGTGGCTTTTCTTTCTCATCTCTGGAGAGCAAGAAACAGTCTTTCCAACTCAGTAGAGACTCAGTTGGTCATCTGAGCCATTCATTTGTGCTTCTTTAATACAAGTGTGGTCAGAATACCCCAAAATGAGAGGCCCCTGGGGCAGAGCCATGGAGCTGTATCTCAGCCAACCCCTGTGTCTATTTCTACAGCCCTCATGAAGCTAAGGCAAGGAGAGAATTGTAGAGACCAGGCCCACTTGTAAATAGAGCCTGCTAACAACAGAGGAACCCATGGGCTGCTCTCTGCAACACTGGCAGAAGCCCCCATCACACTGGCTGGCCTACATCCCTGCCTGCAAGGACAGCTCCTGAAGCAGGCCCTGCCAGCAGCAGCAGGACTCAGCATGACACATCGGAACAATAGGGAGGCAATCATTCCAGAAAACACAGACAGACTTGAAATAACACGATCTTTTAAAATTTAACTTAATTAAAAGTTGTAGAATTTCTTTCACTTTTTTTTTTCTTTTAGACATTCTGTGTAGCTCAGGCTGACCTCAAACTGGTGGCAATCTTTCTGCTTCAGCTTCCTGAGTGTTGGAATTATAGGCATACACCCCCAGGCTCAGCTAAAAGCTATAAAATTTCAAACAAGTAATTCACAAATGAGCAAAATCAACCATCAATACATATGAAAGAATTCAATCCAAGTTAAATCAGGGAGCTACAAATTAAAATACAAAATAAAACACAACAACCTATAGACTGGCTAAGACTGAAACCAGGGTGAAGGCCAGTGTGGGACAGGACATCTATAGCCCCAACCACTCAGGAAGCCAAGGCAGGAGGGTTATACAAATCAGCCTGGCAGCTTACTGTCTCAAAATTAAAAGATGAAGCCAGGTATGATACATACCTGGAACTCTAGCACTCTGGCGCCTGAGGCAGGAGGATCACAAATTCAAGCCCAGCCTGAGCAACTTAGCAAAAGCCTGTCTCAATAAAAAAATGCAAAATGGGGTGGGGACTTAGTTCTGTGTGAACCTCTGGTTCAATCTCCAACTACCAGGGAATGTGGCTCAGTGCCCTTGGGTTCAATTCCAATTAACAGAGACACAGTAGTAAATAAAGACGGGGGAACAAGAGAACCTCAAACATTAGTGAAAGGATTAACCAATATAACTTATGGAAAATACCTTATCTAGTAAAAAAAAAAAAATCAGAAATATTTATACCTTGGGACCCAGAAATGGTATTTTCTGAGTTATGTGATGCCAAAAATAAAGTTAAGCTTTCAGAGAAATGATTGGAGCAGGGATATACAAAGTTTCCCCAACTTACACATTTTTTACTTGTCTGAGTGCTTTAGGGGCTTTAGATTTCTGTGATGGCTGGAAAAACAGCCAGGTGCATTCCCAGTTTTTAGTCGCCAACAGGTGCCTGAGGCCCATGGTGTTCTGAAAGCTGCCCCCGCATTGCAGGGGCCAGGAGCCTCCCTTAGAAACTGAGGAGGAGAGTGGAGGCTGTCCCGAGACTCACGTGGACTGGTGAGGTCCTCTGACTGTGGGATGGCAGCAATGCTGACCTGCCGCCCACACTCCTGTAGTCAGCACCCATGGCACCCTGAGCACAGCTCATCTCGGGTTAGGGCTATGAGGTTGCCCTACCAGTTGTGCGTAAAGAGGCAGAATTTCAGAGCTAGGGTACTTCAGAAAGTTGGCATTTGGATTTATGAATATCAACAAAGTGTGATGGCACACATCTGTAAGCCCAGTACTAGGGAAGCTGAAGCAGGAAGATTGCTGTGAGTTCAAAGCCAGCCAGAGCTACATGTGACAGCCTGTCTCAAACTATAAAGAGAAAGCCTGTTCCGCATTGGCAGCCCTCAAGGTACGAATCCAAGGTTAACTGGGGGTGGAGCCCCACTGGGGCCAATCGGGGAATAGAACGAAGACAGGAAAGCTGAGCAGTAAATAAACAAAAGCAGCCTTGGTGAACCAAGCAAAAGCATGAGAGGACAATGGTGCGCCACCCACTGGACGTTAAACCCTCAATTCCTGGACACGATCCTGGCTCTCCCTAGGCCAAGACCTAGCAGATGGTGCCAATACCCCTTCCCAGCACTGGCAGTGCCTGGGCCAAAGCTTCAGCGCCCCACAAAATGAAGTGCTTTCTTGATTCCAGGGAGCCACGGTGAGATGAGCAGCAGTTCAGTACACACCCTCAGAAGTGCTGGACAGGTGCCCGTCTGGGTTTTGGTGGTCTGAGGTCACCCCGCCCTGCGAGCAGGACTGTCAACAGCACAGACCAGTGGTTTCTTTTTTTTAAATGTAAGTCTTTTTTTTGGTTTTTTTTTGTTTCTATCAGTACCAGGGATCAAACTCACAACTGCCTGCTTGCAAGGCAGGCGCTTATGCCACTGAGCTAAATCCCCAGACCCCAGACCAGTGGTTTCTAATACTACCAAGACCACAAGCCACATCTGTTACCACAGCTCACTGCCTTCACCCTCTGTCATCACAAAGTGAACCAGCTATGAAGTTCTAAGCAAGCCATGAAGAGACCAATGGTTTGTCTGTGTTCTAATGCCTGCTGTCATCCACTCACAATGACATCAACTCAGTGAACTCCAGGGCTGAGGGGACAGCTCAACGACAAGCAACCCCCCGCCCCCGCTTCTGTGGCCCAGTTATAGGCACCCCCCTGCCACACACTGCCCTGACAGTGCCACCGAGTCCCTGGCTCTGCAAGGCAGGTCCACCAGAGCCAGCTGCTAATGACAGGCAAGCTCTGGCCCCAGCCCCTGCCTGGGGCACTCGATCACCACCAGAGCCTTCAACCAGGTATTGTTCCAGGTGGCAGGCACTCTAATCCGCCAGGCGCCCTACTGACACAGCCACCCTGTCCCCACTGTGCAGAGGAAACCAAACATCACACAGCTGGTTTGCACTGTGGAAGCAGGGGTGAAAGAAATGTGGAGTCCTCGGGAGTCTCCCCAAACCACTTCTGTGCCCAGCTATGAAAAGATCAGGGTTACAACACCTATTCCCTCAGCAACAAAGCCACAGATGATTTTCCTGAAAGTTTTATCATGCTGGGTCCTGTTCAACTCATGTCTGGGCTTCCATGGCACAAGCACAGGGACCCTGACCTGTAACCTGAGACCCAGGTCTTCAAATGCCAGTGCTGACCAGAGACCCACACCACAAAGCCCGCCAATGGCCCCGTGTAAACACTTACCACAACAGAGTCATTGTGAGTCAGGTCGACGACCACAGGCTCTAATGATTCACATGTGAGGTCCACAATTTCATCTCCAGCTTCAAAATAAAGCACGTGAGCAAGGGTTGGCAATGGGTGGGCACAGGGAATCCTCTGAGCTGGGGGGATACTACCTCGGTGTGGGACAGGCTTGGCCCCAACTGAAAACACCTGACCAACACATGACAGAGAATCAACACCAACACAGGCCCTCCCAGCATTCTGCTGAGAGGTGCTGGGTACTGCTACCTCCTGTGCCATGCTCCCACACAGCTGTCCCCCGAGCAGCAGTTTCACTAGGCAGGGACAATTCTAGCAGACTTATTACCTCTGCTAATTTCTCTAGTGCCTGTTAATTGCACAGGAAACAGGTGACATTTATCATGGGTCCCCTAGAATCCAAACATGCCAGAACAGGCTGGGCTACCCTCACTGCCGGGCCGTTGAGCTCTAGTGTACATGGAGGGTGGGGAGAACACAGAAGCAGTACCTATGCCTGGCAGGTAGGAACAAGATGGCAGTGTGCATCTTTCATTTGTATCAACAGAAAAAAGAAAAACCTATAGCTATTTTGTTTCTGGTTACTTTTAACATTAAAAAGCATGAGGTTAAGACTTTTAATTTTTGAAGACTGGGTCTAAGTTGCCTACTTTGCCCTCAAATGTGTGATGCCCCTGCCTCAGCCTCTCAAGTAGCTGGGATTACAATGTATACTATCATGCCTGGCAAGATTTTTAGAGTATTCATTTAAAATTTGTTTAGCAAAAGTGATTTATAATGTATTTAATGTAGTCTAATTTGTCCCCACTGTCCTACGTAGGTCCTCCTGGTTTAAGGACTGCTTGGACTCATAATCTGTCTTTTTATTGGACAGTTCTGTACATTTTATTGACAGAATCTCAATGTTGGATTTTGCCCTGAACACCTTGTTTACACATTGCTGTGAATTTTTTTTTGATACTGGGGATCGAACTTGTGATCATGCGCTTACAACGTAGGCATTTATGTAAGTGAGCTAAATCCCTAGCAGTGCTATGAATTTTTACTGATTCTGCTATATATAACAGCACTGTAGTTTTCTGTTGGTTTTTTTTTTTTTTTTTTTTTTTTTCTTTTTTTTGGTCTCTTTGAGACAGGGTCTCACCATGCAGTTCAGGCTGGCCTTGTGCTCACTTTGTAGCCCAGGCTGGTCTCGAACTCGAAGCCATCCTCCTGCTAAGATAATAGGTATGCACCACCACACCCGGCTATTACAGTTTTCTGTTCTGTTATACATACATCATAGCACTGGATGTAGGAGTTATACAAATCAAGGCAAAGTTATTCAGTTGGAGTTCCCTTTGATTATTTCTTTGTTCTGATTATTGTAATGGACACACTAGATACAATTCCTCATTAGTGACCAATTCATCTACCTTTGTAGGAACAGTGCTTGATCATTAAATGAGGTACCTCTGTTTCAGCCAGGCATGGTGTTACACACCTATAATCCCAGTACTTGAGAGAGCAAGGCAGGAGGATCGATGCAAGTTTAAAGCCAGCCTGGGCAAAAAAATGAGTTTAAGACCAGTCCGAAATGCATAGTGAAACTGTCTTTAAAAAAGTTTTACATTCAGCAGCAGTGGTGTGTATCTAGTATCACAGTGATCTGAAAGCTGACGTACGAGGGTCACAAGTTCAAGCACAAGGTAGGCCACACATTCACTTCATCCTGTCTTGAAATAAAGAGGGCTGGGGGTATAGCTCAGTGTGAAGGCTCTGAGTTCAGCCCATAGCGCCATCAGTAAACCAGTGGAAGCCTACCCACCCACACATTGGCGCACAATTCACCAAGCCATTCTGTGGACACAAATCTTGGAATGTGAGGAAGCTGCTTCTTGTATTTCATGTGTGTGACCTGAGCCTTGCTCCTCACAGTAAATCCCTAAAGTTCTCCACTTCTCTGCTGAGACCTCGGCTCTGACAGAAGCAGTGCTCCTGTGGCCGGCCCGAAGCCCAGCCTTGCTCCTGGAAACTGCTCACAGGATGGCAAGTCCTACAATGGAAAGCAGCTGGATTCTTTCCGGGCCTGACCTGCTAAGCCTGCCACGAGACCATGAGTGTATTTAGGGTTACAACTGGGGGCAGCACCAGCTGTGTGGGTTGAGGGTCAAAACTTTAGGAATTTGCTGTGAGGAGCGAGGCTCAGGTCACACATCTCACAAGAAGCTAGTTTACTGTCACTCTAAGTTGGTCCCCACATTTCTGTCCCTACTGTACACATCCTGCATATCTTTTGCATCTTCTGCCAATGCTGAGGATAGTGCGAAGGGGCTCACACACCAGGAGGGAACACCACTGAGCTGCACTCCTGTAAGGCTCAAGCTGCCTTTCTTTAAACCATCAGCTCCAGGGGCTGGGGATTTAGCTCAGCGGCATAAGCGCCTGCCTTGCAAGCAGGCAGTCTCGAGTTCAATCCCCGGTACCGATAAAAACGAAAAAGAAAAAAAAAAAAAAAAATCAGCTCCCTGGCATGATAGCTATTAAAAACCACCTTAATATGCCCAGAACAAATGACATGACTCAGGCCATCTGACACATCACTAGTAGGAAGAAGGGAAAATTCATCCCAGTCTCTGCCTAAACCAAAACTGACACAGGTAACTAACTCTACTGAGTCTGTCTTCTTGGGAGTTTTGGTCTTAATGAGAAGGAGAAAAAAAAAGTCAAGTACTTTTATAAATCGAGCATATCAGGATGCTTCAGAGGAGGCAGCCCAGGGCAGTGTCCCTCCCTGGCTGGTGTCTGATCAGAGGCTAAAGGGCTACCCCAGCCAAGTGGGTTGCTTTAAACCCACGAAGGCCCTAGGGCACCAAAGAGGCAGCTGTAAGATAAGACAGGTGAGTAAGTGTGACACTGCACAGGCTGTACGAAGACACCAAAAGGAACTTTTTTTTTTTTTGTCTTTTTCATTTTTACCGGTACCAGGGATCAAACTCATGACCGCCTGCTTGCAAGGCAGGTGCTTATGCCGCTGAGCTAAATCCCCAGCCCCAAAAGGAACTTCTAACAGCCAAGTCATGGCATATCAGCCAAACGCCGTCCCCAGCATTGTATCCTGACCTTCCAACAACCCCAAGCCACAGTATGCCCATCACCCCCTGCAGAGGAGAAAAGGGGCTTGCAGGGTACAGAATACACACGAGGAGGCTGGGTGTAGAGGTGGCAACACTGGTGCTGACCAGGCCTAGTGTGCACTCTGTCCTCTACCCCCACTCCAACAGGGTCAAGCATCCCTAGCAGTCTTACCTGTTTCCTCAAGTTCTATGGGTTCTGGATCCATGGCAATCTCGGGAATCGAGCCTGTTTCCCGAGTTCGCTTCTGGGCTTGTCTAGAACTTACTGTTCCACCACGACGCTTTCTCTGAGGGTGGTAAGGGGAAAAGAAAGAATAAAGAGGTCAACATGGGAATGGTTCCAACAGAAAGTGCAAAATCCAGCAAGTAGCCCTGAGGCTGGGGTCCTTTCAAAACCTGAGGTCCCGGAACACTGAATGTGTTGAGAATCATCTGAAATGCTGTGAACAGCAATTCTAGACTAACATGTTTACATGAAACCACCAGTCTTCATGATGGCAGTGTTACAGAGCTAAATTCCCTTGATTCTGTCCTACTGGCCCTCACACTGGGCAACCTAGGACACTTAATCCAAAGCACAGGGTTCTTCACCAATCCCAGCCTTGTAGGGTTGCCGCAGGACCTTAGCAGACACCTGAACAGTGCTGGGCACAGACAGAAGAGGGTGTCATTGTTCCAACTCCAAATGCCTCACCAGATACACACTGCCCCATGGAAACTTATGAAGGACTGGATATTAAGGGGAGATTCACACAAAACTGAGAACATCACCACCACCCGCCCAATTCCCAGACAACAATGAAAAGTCTTAATTCCTCTGCATTCTGATTGTTAATCAGGCAAACTCAGCCTTGGAATTGGACCTGCTCTTAGCACCTCCCCAAAGATCTAAGGGCACAGAGCCTGGGTGGGGGGGGAGGTTTGGGGTCTGGACTGACACTCCCAAGGGAAATGGGATATAAGAGATGCCTGGAATCCCAAAGGCTCAGGAAGCTAAAGCACAATTCCAATTTTGACCCCAGGGTGCACCATGCAGAAAGACTGTCACAAAAAGTGAAAAAAGGCTGAGGATGTGCAGCGTGCTAAGAAGGCCCTGGGCATGATCCTCAGGACTATGAAACACACAGAAACATCGCTCAAGGGCATAGTCCCTGCAGCATTCTTAAGGTCCCAGGCTCAACTCCCTGTTTATTTTTGAGGGGGCACAGCAGACACACATGAGTATGTCTGAGGGAGGGACGGCTCTTTGCTTCAGAGACACAGATTCCCCCAGCCACAGCTGGGTGCCACCGCCAGCTTTCAATAACTGCTAGAAGGTCACCCTGCCCTTCCTTCCACACTGGGCTGGAGTCTGGACCTCCTTCATGCAGCTCTTCCTATGAGACTGCTCCTTCACTGCCCGCCTGTTACTGGAGTCCTGACGCTTCTCTCTATAAGCTGAGCCAGTAGAAGTTCACAACTCTGGGAGAAACTGGACCACCCAATCAGGACCATGGAAGTTACTGAGGCCCTAACTTTTAGGAATTTAAACCAATTTATTATTATTTTGATTTTTGTTTTTGGGGTAGGATCTTAGTATGTAGTCCAGGCCAACTTTGACTCTCTAGAGCCCTTCTGGCCTCAAACATGCAACTCTCTTGCCTCGGCCTCCTAAGTGCCAGTATTAAGGTATGTGCCACCATGTACAGCAGCCAATTTCTACACACACACACACACACACACACACACACACACACACACACCAGCCAGCACTGTTTGGCCTGCCCAGATTCTATCTACATAGAGATGGTGATTCTGAGGGATGCCTAAAAACATCTATTCCCTGCAGGTGATTGAGGACTATAATCTCCAGGTAACAGGCCAAGGAGGAAAGCATGGCCAGGGCCAGAGAAGCCACTATACAAATAGCAACACGGGGATGGAGGCTCAAGCAGCCAGGAAGAGAGGACCCACAGGAGACAGAGGGCACAGGGGAAAACCTACAGGAGTCCCTCCCATTCCCTCTGCCTGCCACCGCCCCTCCCCAACCTCACCACCATGGCAGCACCTCGGGGCCCACAGATGAGGAATGCAGCCTGTTCTGGGTTTATAGCAGCCTTCGAGAGTAGTTTCTGTCAGCAGACACGGCAGGGCACTGAGGGGATCTGCTCTAGATCTCTAGGGGCTCCAAGGGTTGCACCAAAACGCTGCCTCGGGGTATGATGAGAACTTAAACAGCAGTCACAAGACTGTCGCCCTGGTCACAGGTCATAGTTCGCCCCTCAGCTGCGTGCTGCCTTTGGGCTCGGTGAACACAGGTAAACCACACTGAAGGGAAAAAGAAAAACTAAGTTGCAAGTAACAAATCCCAAGAGCTTTCATAGTTTCCAGACATAGATGGCTGCTTAGAAGGCATCGCTGGGGTACTCTAGGGCTCCTTTTCAGCCTTCTGTCTTGGGGCTGCCTTTGGCATCTGCCACTCAGCTGAGGCTAGCAGGTTGTGACTAACAGAAATACTCTCTCTAGAACCAGGATCGCTGAGAAGCACCTTGTGGGCCACACTTCACTGTGCTGTGAGGAACAGGACATTTGCTTAACCCTGAAAACAAAGTGGTAAAACTTACTGTACTCATTGTGCTGACTCCAACCTGTACCAAGGTTTGCAGCAAAGCTGAATGTTCTCAGCCTCTCATGCCCACTGGTTACTACCTTCCAGCTTACAAAGAATTGGAGCCAGGCAGGTTTCCAGTATCTTGAAGACCTGAAAAAACAAAGATAGCAACTTGATGAATATTGGTACCTACACTGTTGATTATAATAAAGTTCAGTTTCAATAATAAGTCCTTTCTGTCACTGGGTGCTCTATCAAACACTTCACACAATTTATGTCCACAATATCACATTCTTCTTAGGAAATAAGAACTCTTTTGGTACACATCCCAGTCTGTAATGAAAGCCATTATGTATCTGCTGCTTGCCTGCTTTGGGAGAACTGAACTCAGGGCCTCATGTGCTCTACCAGTGAGCTGCACCTCACCCCAAACCAGCCCTTCTTCCTACTATAAAAGCATTCTGCTAACTGAGAAAAGACAAATTAGAAATGCCACACCTGAGCACGCCAACTCTCAGCACTGGCACCATAGAAGCCCCAAGCTTCAGATTCTTCAGGAAACTCCAGTTGCCTTCCAGAAGAGCAGGGCCAGCTACCCACCCCCAGCACCCAGCAGGAAGCTCCCAAATGGCCCCAGAACTCCCAAGACTATTCAGACCACAGCACAATCTCAGACCCATCATAATTCCTGGGTCCCAACACACATTCATTTCTGGTCCCAGTAAGTACCTTATGTTTGGGCACCCTTGTACAACATGCTTTTTCCCTTGCAAAATTATCCAGTTAAACGGTGTCTTAGAATTGAGAAGAATCAAGTAGTGCAATGATGGTGTATGCCTGGGAGCCCAGTATGAGACTGAGGCAGGAGAATCTACCAGCCTGGGCTACTGGGCAAGTTCAAAGTCAGGTCAGCTTGAACTACAATTAGATCATGCCTAAACCAAACTAAACCCAAACAAACAACAGAAAAACCCAGAACGGAAAAGAATCTTACAAAATATTGTCACAGAATATTGTCACAGAAAAAGAGATCTGCTAAGCAATGGAAAATGTGACGCTCAGATCTTAGCCTCTTGCCGCTTACTGATCCCATTCATTTCGGCTTTCAAATCTGGGCCACCCTCCCCAAATCAGAAAGTACCCTCTGACACCTCCTAGATCCCCATAAACCAACTGATCCTTGGCTTCTTTCCCTTCCTCCTACATACTCCACCAGTGAAATGATTCATTCCAAGTCTAGGATGATCAAGAATGATGGAACTTGCCCCACATCCATAGTGAACAAACAGCAGAGCCTGGGTTCACATGGAGGCATCTGATATGGGAACCAATGTTCTTAAAATAGCACTGGTGCTAGGATCCATTTTAACCTGGAAACCAGTATCTTTAGGAAAGGACCCTCGCATTTCCTCCTTCAACATCCCTCAGTGCAGAGGCTGACTCTGTGGTCACTTGGTATCCTCTGCTCTATACCCATTCAGGCTCCTGCAGAAGCAGATCGTATTCACGAAGGTATAAAGACTTAGGTGAGTGTGCAGTTTCAATGATAGCCTCACCACCAAGAAAACACAGCAGGGGCCAGTTCTGACAGGAGGGCCAAATGCTATGATTCCAAAAATTCTGAATGAGAGAAACATGCATCCTAAGGTACCTAGCTGGCTACTGTGCAAAAAATGACTAAATAAAGAAGGCAGAAAAGAAACAGGTACTGAGGGTAGATTTAAATCTGGGAAGGCAAACAGACAAAGAAGTCATAAGAAAAAAATTTTTGAAGCCAGGTGTGGTGACCTACACCTGTAATTTCAGCGCATGAGAAGCTGAGGCAGGAGGACTGCAGTGAGTTCAAGGCCAACCTAGGCTACACCTTGTCTCAAAAAAAGAAAGAACAAATGAAAGACAGATTTTATATTGTCACCTTCCCCCCGCCCCCCCAAAAAAGAATGAATGACAAAAAAAAAAATCAGGCATGGTGTGCATATCTGTAATCTCGGTACTTGGGAGGCTGAGGCAGAAAGGTTAGTTCCAACCAATCCTGGGCCACCAAGTGAGTTCAAAGCCAGTGTGGAAAACATACAGCAAGACCCTGTCTCAGTCTAAATAAATAAATAAATAAATAAATAAATAAAAAATAGCCGGGCGTGGTGGCTCACGCCTGTAATCCCAGCACTCAGGAGGCTGAGGCAGGAGGATCATTGCGAGTTGGAAACCAGCCTTGACTGCAAAGTGAGTTCAAGGCCAGCCTGAACTGCATAGTGAGACCCTGCCTCAAAAAAACAAAAAAAGAAAGAACGAAAATAAATAAATAAATATAAAAACAATGAAAAAAGTCTGTACATGTTCAACACAGAGACATTCTTAGTACTAAGTATTTAGAATTTTTCTCTTTTGGTGGTGCTGGAGATCACTGAGGCAGAGGACAGTGCCTGACTCAATTTTCCCTGCACTAGTTGGAGCGCGTTGTGACTTAGCTGGTGGCCAGCACCCCACCTCCAAGGGACTGAGAGTTTGTTTGTGTCCTTCCTGGTCATCAAAATGCTATTCCTCATTCTAACACAAATACAGCCAGACAGTATGGTGCTCCCCACCCCCAGACCATACTGTTGTTGCCTTTTGGGGAGCAGCAATGGCACCCTGGAGTAGCTGAGACCAGGGAGGGAAGGATCTGGGCCTCTTATTTGCATATTCAACATTGACAGCAACCTTCCAGAAGATTCCCTGATTCTGAGCAGTAAAGATTCATGTTGGTGCTCCTGTAAACCTGCTCACGATTAGTTCTGGGAGAGTGTGGGTTCTGAAAGTTCTATAAATCTACTAGGAATTTTTGTTCTGAGTAATGTGGGCAGAGCATATAAACAGAGCTGTATATAACACCAAAGAACACCAGAGGCCAGCAGCTGAGGAAGACTAGAGACAAAGACCCAGTGCCTGATGAATCCAACTACACAGCAGTGATGGTAAACCTTTTAGAGTTTTTAATGATACTGCCTGCTGCCCACAGGTTCACCACCAGTGATCTACAGTGTCCAGCACAAGCTGGCATCGGATGATGACAGCCAGCAGCAGCAGTGATCAGCAGCTGGCTGTGTCACTGTGGGCATCCAGCATTACCTGGTATTATCTTGACATGAGGACTACTAGCAGAGTTGCACTTTGCTGAATCATCATTTTCATCTGATTCAAGAAAAAGAATCCTACGCAGATTGGCCTTCTGCATGCTAGGTAAGCACTCCACCACTGAGCTACACCCCCAGCCTTGACTCTTTCTTGCCCTGGGATGAATCTACAGAAACAAAACTCATGGATATGAAGGGCCAACTGTAGAGTTTACCCAACAAACCAAAACAAAACAAAACACCAACTCAGTGAATGCATATTCTAAACTGGAAAGATACCTATTTTGATAAAAGAAGCACTACAGTATCCTTACTACACTAGTAATATTCCAAAGGAGGCAAAAAGATAAAACAGATCATTATGTAACCCCAAAGAAGTTAACCTTCACAAGGCAACTAAAAAAGTCTGCCAGCTCAATAGATCTAAGACTTCGGCAAGGTTCCCAAATGATCACAACCATTACCACAGAATATAGTCCAAGACAGGTATGGCGGTGCATGACTTCAATCCTGGAACCCACCTGACCTGTTGGAAGGCTGAGGCAGAAAGACCACTGTTTGAGGCTAGACCAGGCTACACAGAGTTCATGGCCAGCCTGAACTACATAGAGCAAGACCTTGACTCAAAAAGAAAAGAATATGGTTCAAAATCATCATGTGTAGTTACAGACACGTGCTCCTCAATGGAAGCACCTTCGGCATGCATTAAAGGGTTAACAAACACATAACTGTGGTACCTTAGGCTTGCACACAGATATAGGCTCCAAAAGGTCCACAACTTGGGGGTCTGGGGGTGGGAATGGTGTATAGGCCCTCCACAGGCATGGCTCTCACACAGGAAGGCTACAAAGGCAGCTCACAGGTGTTCCAGATGTGCAATGTGTGGCTTGGTCCAGCTGCTGTTATGGTTTGAGCCTTACATGTCCCCTAAAAGATCGTGTGTTGGAGGCTAGCTTCCCAGCTGACTGTGCCACTACTGGGAAGTTGTAAAGACTTTTGGGGGTGCAACTAGCAGAAGGGAGTTGGGGGTGTCCTGTATTAGTCTTTGGGGGACACCTGGCTCCTTCCTCTTTCTCCCAGTTTCCCGTAGTTACTCTTATAAGCACCTGGCTCTGCCACAGCGTTCCCCCATGTTTGGCTGAATGATGTTGAACTGAAAATTCTGACACTATCAGCCAAAATCAATCTTCCGTCTTTCTGTTTAACTGATGAAAAGTGACCCCAGGTTCATTTTCTATGTTTCATTTTCTATTCTCTCACAGATGAAACTGTGATCATCAAAATCAAATTCACATTATGTTGCCAGGTGTGGTGTTGCCAGGTGTGGTGGCACCTATCTGTAATCCCAGCACTGGAGAGACTGAGGCAAGAAGGACCACTGGAGGCCAGCCTGTGCTACACAGTGAGTTCAAGGCTAGCCTGAACTGCACAGCAAGATCCTGTTGCAAAAAGAAAAAACAAACAAAAATGTTTCCTACTACATCAATCCCACTGGAACAAGTCCATGCTTACAAACAAGTGTTTCCAGCAGAACCAACTGTCCTTTACTCCAGGTCCCCTGGACGTTAGCCATTCAACCTAGGTTCTTCCCCACCACAATGTCACATTTTGGCAAAGGTCCTGCCATTCCACGCCACTTCAAGTGGTCTGTCCATCCTCACAAGGTCTACCTCAAAGATTACTTCAGTTCTCTTTTCTGACAACGCAAAGAATGTAACTCTAAATAAAATACTGCCCTAACTAAGCACAGCCCTGGGCATACCTCATCAATTTTCTCCAGTGAAATATGGAATTATCAAACTCATCAGGTATTGAAACAGATTGCAGAAAACTGGAATACTGGTTTGTTTAGGTTTTTTTGTGGGGCGGAGGGGGGGATGGACTTCAAAGATACGTAAAAAGGCAGAAACGCTGGAGTCCTGGGTTTACAGGTGTGTCACCAAAACAGAGCCCAGGAAACAGAAACAGATAAGCAGCACAAAAGATAAGCAGACATGGGGCTGGGGATTTAGCTCAGCAGCATAAGCGCCTGCCTTGCAGGCAGGCAGTCATGAGTTCAATCCCTGGTACCGATAAAAAGGAAAAAAAAAAGACATTTCTACCTGAGATGCTTTCAATCTGCAGGAGGTAAAGGCCAGAACAGAAATCAAAAAGGTGCTTAGAAGCCAGGTATGGTAGAGCATGCCTATAACCCCAGCTACTCAAGAGAGGCTGTGACAGCAGGATTAAAAATTGAAGGCCACAGCCTGGCAATGGTGCACATGTCAGTAATTCCAGCACTTGGGAGGCTAAGGCAAGAGTATCACCTTGAGTTCAAGGCCAACATGGGCAACTTAATGCACGAAACCTTGTCTCCAAATTAAATAAATAAGGCTGGAATGCAACTCAGTGCTCCTTGGAATCAATCCCCACTGCTTCCCTCCCCCTTCAAAAGGTACAAATTTTAGTACTGGTTACAAAGCTGTACCAAGCAGCCAAATTTAGCAAGTTTGGTTAAAGAGAAGAGGCACAGCAAACAGGAAAAGTCTAAGCCTAAGACCATCTCCCAAAGTTGAAAGCAGCAGTTCAGGAATAGATTCTTAAGGAATACAATGTAAGACCAGGGATTTAACTAAGTGTGCAAGCTTGCGCTTGTGAGTTCCATCCCAGGTACCAAAACAAACAAACAAAAAAGGAATACAATGTAATCATGGAAAATCAACTATTTTGGAAATATTTTTAACTGGACCCCTACTTGGGAGAAAAGATAGATTAATACTCCTAAATCAAGGGGCTGGAGGTTTAGCTCAGCGGCATAAGCACCTGCCTTGCAAGCAGGCAGTCGTGAGTTCGATCCCTGGTACCGATAAAAAGGAAAAAGACAAAAAAAAAAATACTCCTAAATCATTTAAAAATACTGGTCACACAACACGCAAAACTACTTTCATACATACCAAATGAACCAACTACTCTGTGCACATTATTTTTATTAAGTACTCCAAATCTTTCCCAGAATCGATTGGAGGTGCAAACTACCAGCCACAGACTTTGCTACCAACCAACTTGGCCTTAGCAGATGAAGCAGAAGGGATTACGGACATGTGCCAACAGACAGGGCCCATCTCCAAAACCACCAGTCTCATTTACTTTTGTATTACACCCTTCTCATGGTTATAGTAGTTTTTCTAAAACACAACTCTGGCGGTTTTTCCTTCCCAGCTTAGCATTTAATGGTAAGGCAAGGCAAGTTCCACATGGGCAGGGAATAAACTGTTAACTTCTTTATGTGGCAGCCACCCCAAAGACCTCTGGAGTTTCATTCCTCTTTGCTTCTCCAAACCCAAACTCTTGCCACAGCTCTTGCTCCACTGAGATACCAATGCAGGGACTCCCTTTCATTTCCTCCATTCCATTCCCCCCTCCCCCAGAAGAAGGTCAGCTAAGTTATACACCAAGCAGAAAACTTGGCACACAGAAGACCTCGACATGGTACTATCTTAAGACTATTTTAAGGGATGCATTCTCTCTCTTTTTTTTTTTTTTTTTTTTTGTCTTTTTCGTTTTTATCGGTACCAGGGACCGAACTCACGACTGCCTGCTTGCAAGGCAGGAGCTTATGCCGCTGAGCTAAATCCCCAGCCCAAGGAGGATGCATTCTCAAAGAGGACGTAAGATCACAAATAACATGCAGTAGGTTCAAAAAAAATACAGTATATGTAGCAATAAAATGTCACAGAGGCAATGATTAGGAAATCAATGTCTGAAAAGGCTCCTTATGGTAGTAAATTAAGAAAAGATTAATAACAGACTTTCTTTTGTTTTCCTTTTTGTCTTGTTGAGGCAGGGTCTCGCTTTGCAGTTTAGGCTGGCCTTGAACTCACTACAGTTACCTAGGCTATCCTCCCACTGGATTTACTAGTGTGGGTCACTATGCCCAGTTTTTAAAGCAAAATTCCTAAGAGTTGGACAGGTAGATTTGAGCATACTAGCATTAACAATACATCTTACTTACACATTCCCATCTTATCTCACACAGGTAAAACTGAATTTAACGTCTATTAAAAAGCAAATCAAAACTGGGCGTGGCGGTGCACTCGAAACCAGCCTGAGCTACTACAACGCTAAAGGCCAAGTTGAACTGCATAGTGAAACCCTGTCTCAAAAAGTAGGGGAAAAAAAAAAAGTCGCCAGGAAAAACAAAAACATTCCCTTCACGTAGCCCGCACTAAGATTGAATCTGTCGCCACCTAGCTGGTTGTGTGATCTTGGGCCGACCATCTCACCTTTCTGGGCCTCAGTCTCTGGAACACCAGGGTAGACTAAATTGAAAGTAAGGCACGGTTTCACGCAAAGCTGAGATCCCAGGTTCAAGAACTCAGTAGAGAAGCAGAATCTAAGTGCAGCCTGCGAGAAGCCATGAGGACCGACAAATATCAGACAAAGGATGAAATATCCACAAACATGGCTCGCCACGCTCTGTCCTTTTCCTCTTCCCGAAAAGGATCCAAAAGTGGGTAACTGAAGTGCACCGGCCACTGACTGTTATACACACGTAACCCGGTGCGCTGGGGAAGAGCCCCAGGGCCCAGCCCTCACGCCTCACCCACGCAGGGCCTGGGGCTGTAGGCCCACTCAGCTCCCAGAGCCGAGCCTGCCCCGGTCCCCAGCACCTTCCGGCCCAGAACGGCCCCGCCACGCGGCTCCTTGATAGCGGGGCGGTGGCGCGGGCACACAAAGGGAGGCATCATCATGGGGAAATAAATGAGCTTGCCTAGGCCTCCCTGCGAACCGCCTCCTCTACCCCGCTCTTCGAGTGACCTTGGAAGCATCCCATCACTCTCCGGGCCTCAGTTTCCCTTCTGCGGTGGAGGGCGCTGGCCTGCAGACACGAGGCCAGGCCCAGATGGCGACGTCCCCACTTGGAGCGCCAGCGCCTAGCAGGCCCAGGCCAGGCCAGGGCATCCGCGCAGACAGCGGAGTGGGTGGAGCTGGCCCAAGGCTCCGGTGAGGCCCCGCACCGGTGCCGGGTTCGAGCGCGTCAGAGGTGCACCAGGCTTGCGCCGAGGCCACTGAAGGCCTCAAAGCCGCCCGAAACGCACTTCCTCCCAGTCACTCCTTTCTCGCGAAGGTCGCCCTTAACTGTAGCTTACCTGGCTACCTTCACCAACCTGCTAGAGCGAGAAAACCCCTTCGCGAGTGGCCGAGGAGATACCCGCTCAAGCAAGACTCCGCCGTCTCAAAGCAACCCACTTCCGCTCTGCAGGCGTCTGCGTCGCCCCTCCTGGGTTTCCATTGGCTGCTTCCGCCCCTACACTCGTGGTCCCCAGATTAAGGAGGCATATGTTCAATCCTATAGGATAAGAAAACCGTCTATCACTCTTTTGAAACGCACCTCCTTCCGGCCCCGCCCATGCTCGTGCGCTTGGAGCTCTCACTTCCCGCGAGAAAGCCCTTGAGGCAGCTCAGCCCGCAAGGCTTCTCGGGAGTCCGGTCTGTAGCTGCTGGAGGGCGGTCCGAAGCAGGCTGACCTTTTGCCGCTGGGTAATGTTCTCTGTGGCGAAGGGTCTTGCCGCTCTCACCAGCTGTTGACCCCCCCTTGCCGGGCATAGCCGGCTGGCGATGTGGAAAAAAACATGAGTCCCTACCAGCCAGTCAGTGACCCTCTCCGGGTTTGTTTCCTCGCCTGTCAAAGCTTTTGTGAGGAAAAGACTCGACGCCCCGGGGTCTCTGAAGATCTGCCGGATCCGCGCCCTGTGTCCCCAGCCCTTGCAGACTAATGGTTGGAAGAGTTCAGGAAGCGTCGCCCGTCCCCTCTATCAGTGGGGTCAGGAGCCTGGATCTGGGAGGAAACCGGGAGGAAGCGGCGTCGAGCCGGGAACCGCTGCACAGGGGAGAAGGGTGGAAACAACCAACTGACCGCTCAAGGTCAGGAGCGCGGGGCGAGGGTCAGGCATTGGAGAGCCCAGGTGCCAAGTCACCTGCTATATCTAGACTGCCCCTCCGACAGCTGGTATCCGTGCCGAAAGAACGACCTGGGCAAGGGCTGTGGCCCGGCAGAGGAGCTCTCTGGTCTCCGAGGCAGCTCGTGCAACTCACAAGGCCGAGTCCGCAGACCTGCTTTGAGTTTGAAGCCAACCCCACCGCTTAGGCAGATTTGAGTTTCTTTCCTCAGTGTTAGGGAGACGATTTCAAAAGAAGAATTTGGAAGGCAGCACGGCCAGACGTTTGGAATCTCTTGTTTGGGACAATGGACCAGAATCGGACTAGAGAGCTGGATATGAGTTTCTTCAACTTCGGCCTCTAAACTGGATTTGGACCTGGATTTAGTGATGGAGGAGTTGTTCTCTTGTGCTAACTCATGGCCATCTTCTTTGGTACCCTACGTCCTCTAGGCAATGTGTGTGTGAAGGTACATCAGATATATGGGATGGGTTTCCTGCTTAGTTGGGGGCTTCACGCTGGAAGACTGGGTCATATATATAGGAATAACAAACACGCTGGAAGACTGGGTCATATATATAGGAATAACAAAGCAGATCAGGACCAGAGCGTTGAGTCAGCCTGGTAGCCCTCTGCTGTAGTCCCACCACTCTGAAGGCTGAAGCTGGAGGATCTTGAGTTCCAAACTAGCCTGGCCTGCGTAGTGTAGGGAGATAGGATGACAGCCTCATTGAGCTGTATTAAAAATTAGTAAATCAGCTCCCACAGCAGCCAGACCCCGAAGGCAAAGGCAGCAACTAGAAAGACAAAGGCAATGAGATTTGAGCAATTAGGAAGACAGGGGAAAAGTCTAGAGCTAGGACTGTCCCTGGTAGATCAATTACACGAGTCACAAACTTTCCCCTTCTTAATCCTGAAACCTAAACTACCTGTCCTTAAGGCCCTACTGGTAATCTTACCCTCCACCATCAGGGAAAAGGTTGCATGGCCAACAGAAATCCAAGCTTAGATGAACGAGGGAGCCACGAGCCTATATGGGACAAGGATCTCAATAAAAGGAGCCGCAAATGAGATCCATGAGTTAGTGGCCGAGGATATAACTCAGTGGCACAGCCACCAGCCTGGCAAGCCTAAGGTCCTGAATTTGATTCCTGATACCAATGGAAAAAAAAAAGATCCATGAGATGGCACCTGGTTCTCTAGGTTCCTAGGATAAAGAAGGACAAGCTCAGCTTTACCTTTCAACACTTTGGAATAATATGTGAGAGGGTCTTAAAAGACTGTGAAGATAAAATTCAAGGAGCAAATTCTTTTTTTTTTTTTTATTTTTTTTTTATTTTTTTTGGTCTTTTTCGTTTTTATCGGTACCGGGGATCGAACTCACGACTGCCTGCTTGCAAGGCAGGTGCTTATGCCGCTGAGCTAAACCCCCAGCCCCTCAAGGAGCAAATTCTTAATACCACATTAGCTGAGTAGTGTGAATCTTTTGTGAAATTCTCACATGATCAAATTACAGGGCAATACAGGACAAGGCCACCAAGTTATGTATACTAAAGCTTCTTGCATATCCGGGTGCCAGATTTGACGTAAAGAGATGGCTGCTGTACACATTTTGCATCTGGTTTGATAATCACCTTTCACCTCCAAACTTTGCATCCTGAAAACACTTAAATGTTTCTGCAGGTCTATTTTATAAGACTTGAAAGACCTTAAAACTTTCTGGTTGCCATACACATATCTTTGTTTTCTGTTTTTCCAATAAACAGCTCTGCCTTACTGTGATAGGTTTTCAAACAAAATTACTCAGAGCACCAGTTAAGCAAACTGTGCCTTCAGTGGCACTCAACAAATGGAGTTTCTCCAAGCACAGTTCTTTAAGAATTGTGTGTGAGTGTATTTTTAAAATGTATTGTGCAAATTTTTGGATCTTGGGTATGCTGGCTATGATCAATGCACGATTGTGATTAACGCTTGATCTATAGATCATTAATGTTTTATGACCATATAAATTGTAACAGTAGATTATTTTGTGTGTAGGTATTATTCTTGTTAAATACAGGGACTATTTTCAGGTACAGAATATGAGTTGTAAATTAGGATGGACATTCTGTTTGATTATGGTGATAAAACAAAGATCTTCAGTCCTAGATCTACAAATGTGTGGTAGGAAGTTAGAATGAACGAGAGAGGCCAGGACACATGGACTCTGTCTAGCCTGTTAGAAAAATACTTTGACTCCAAGCCTTGAAATACCCCATGAAGTCAGCACTCACCTGGTCAACATAGTCAGACTGCTCCCTGACACTAAGACTCTAAAGGAAAAAGGTCTTGCCTAGAGCGGAATGGTAACAGGTGAGCACAGCACTGGGCCAGGTCCTGGCAGCACCGCTCCCAGGGAGGAGCCGCTTCACCACTGTTCACTTACTAAACTAGAATTCAGTCTTTTAGTCAGGTTCCCCCAAACTTTTTGAGGTGCCCATGTGCAACCGCTTGAGCTGTTTTGGTGAGCCCTGGCCCAAAGTTGCTTATAGGCTGTTCCTTGCCTTGTTTCCAAGGCTATGGAGCAGAAAGCAGCCTCTGTTTTCAGGAGGTGGAAGTTAAGTATGCATTTGTTTTTTTACTGTGAGTTGTTCAGGACCACATTTTACAAAACGCCTTGTTTCCTTTATTATTATTTCTGGAAAGGAAAGTTCTATTAAAATTGTTTTAGTTTAAATGTAAAATAGTTCTTATAATTTTGTATTTTGAATGATTCTAAGTTAAATTCAAATGTATGCCAATACCTTTCAAAGTAAGGTAATATTTAGAGACAGATGTCTTGATTAGATGGTTTAGAGAAAGTTCTGGCATAGTCACATTCGAAGATTCCTTATCAATGGATCTCTCTGACTTACATCTAACCAAAAACTGCAACATTATTGTACATTTTCATTAAGTAGTGTTAATAAGCTTAGTTGCAAACAAATAAAACACTTAAGCTATTTGTATAAAAAAGAGATCCACAAGCAATTCATTCACTTTTGAATTCTTCCTATAGAGTAGCTACCCATCATCTCTTCCTACTTCCTCATCTCCAAATAAATCATCTTTTCATTTTAAACTGAACTTAAACCCACTATGTAACCAAGGCTGGCCTCCAACTCAAGGCAGTTTTCCCTCAGCCTTCCGGATGGTGGGATCACAGGCTTGTGTCACCATGCCTGGCCTTCTTTCTTTAATTTTTTACTGACAATGGATTTAGGATCGCCAAGAACTGTGTGTTTCAGCAGAGCATGTTGTCCACCCCTGGACTTAACAGGGTGACGTAGCATGGCATGGTGTACAGCCCTCCCTAGCATTCCAATAACAAGAACCTGTCCCCAAAAAATCAAAACCAGACTGTTTTACAGTATGGGGAACTGAATCCATGCTCTTCACACCAAGCTATGTCCCCAGCCCTTTTATTTCTTGAGACTAGGATTTTTTTTTTCTTTTGTGGTACCGGGCATCAAACTCACGACCTTCTGCTTGCCAGCAGCACTGCTGAGCTAAATCCCCAGTTGGCCAGGTTTTTTTTCTAAGTAATTGTCCAGCCTCATCTCAAAATTGCAGTCCTCCTGCCTCAGCTTCCACAGTGCTGGGATTACAGGCATGGCCCACAATGCCTGGCCATAGGATCTCTGTGTTTGATATTCTATTAGGGATTTTAGCATGGTAGACATGAAACTGGTTCCAAGATCAAATATATGTTTGAGCATTTGATTTGGGTTATTGAAAGATGGAGTTTTCGGATTTCTTGACCATAACTGGAATAAAGAGAATTCATTTAAGAGCAATGTAAGGTCAGGTATATGACTTAGTGGCATAGCACCTGCCTGGCAAGTATGAGGCACTGAGTTTGATGTTTGATTCCTGGTACTAAAAAAAAAAGAGAGAAAACAAATATAGATATGTACTACATCTGTGAGCCATTTTGAGTACTTGATAAGGCAGACAACTGAAAGGATAGAAAAGTAAAATTAGATTCCACATGTATAAATACAGTTTAAAATGTTTAAGGAATAAATTGGACTATATATAACTAATTAAAATAATAATAATATCCAGAGTCACCTGGACTACTTGGGACCCTGAAGCACGAAGATCATTCAAGGCCAGCCTGAACCCTTGAGCTTCTATAATTTTTAGAAAGAGTTGGAGACAGGGCTGGGGATTTAGCTCAGCGGCATAAGAACCTGCCTTGCAAGCAGGTGGTCATGAGTTTGATTCCCAGTACCAATAAAAAAAAAAAAAAAAAGGAAAAGAAAGAGTTGGAGACACAGCTCAGTGGTAAAGCACTTGCTTAGCATTCATGAGGCCTTGAGTTCAATTCTCAGTACTGAGAAAAACAAAGCAAGACCAGATTAGTAAATAGAATACTGATAGTGACCTGTATTTCACAGCTGAAGAAAGTTAGGATTTTCTGTTCATAATTTTAACCCACCAAAGCCAGAATGTCGTAAAGGTTACCACAAATACCAGCCCGAAAGCTACCTTCAAGTCTTCTAGCCTTCCTTGACACTGAAGTTGCTGCAACGGACCCTCTCCCCAGCTTGAAGAGTAGCCTCAGACCCCAGTGCTGCTGTAGTCCCACCCAACGGGAACCAGCCAAATGTAGGTTCCTGGGCCTCACACAGCTATGGAACCCGTTTGTGTGGGATGTGCAGATCTTCAGAGAAGAGACCCTTTCGGGAGTGTCTCCAAACTGCCAGGGTGAAAGCCGTGCATGGCTACTCACACCTGTAATCCCAGCACTTGGGAGGCCGAGGGTGGAGGATCATTTGAGAGTTCAAGACTAGCCTGGGTTACAAAATGAGCTCAAGGCCAGCCCAAACTGCATAGTGAGACCTGAAAGGTTCCTACCTAGTATAAATTACTGTACAATTATGAAGGTAGTCTAACATGGCAGAAGGCTGAAGTGGAAACACCACTTTTTCCTTTTTCAGCCCTAATTGCAACTCTCTTTTCTGTTTGGGAGCTCTTTTCCACGTCCTCAGTGAACACATTCTTTACTTTACATTTTGCTTCTCTGTTGCGCCAGAAAACTCTAACAAGACCCTGTCTCAAAAAATCTCTCTGTCTCTCTCTCTCTCTGTCTCTCTCTCTCTCTCTCTCTCTCTCTCTCTCACACACACACACACACACACACACACACACACACACACACACGAGCTGGGCGTGGTAGAACTTAGGAGGCTGAGGCATGAGGATTGTGAGTTCAAGTCCAGCCTGAGCTACAGAGTGAGTTCAAGGCCAGCCTGAATAGCATAGGGAGACCCTGTCTCAAAAAGAAAACCAAAAAAATCACACACACAAAAACTGCCAGTGTGGGGCTTCTGGCAGTGGGAACTGACAGAAGTGCTGTTCCCCAGATGTCAGGCAGGGAAAGGTTCAGAAAGAACACTGAGCCAGCCTGAGTCTCTTCCCAATGGTCCATGCAGGGACAGATGGGGCCTGCCTGAACACCCCTGTTCTCAGGCATCCATGTTGGTACGGTCCTGGTCCATGTTGCAGCTGGCTGGTTGTGGGGTGGTCCAGAGTGGCCTCAGGAACAACTAGCTCTCCTTCAGCTGGTGTCTCATTACAGCAGGTACCCTGGTCATGCTCTTGGGACTGGGCAGGTTTCCCAGAGAACACATGAGAGCTCCAAGGTCACCTGAGGCCCAAACTCTGAACTGACAGCCACTTCCACCACAGGTGTTGGCCAAAGGAAGTCAGATCAGGTTCAGGTACTGGAGAACACAGACATCACTGCACCAGGGGAGGTGTAAAGCTACAATGTAGTTACAGTAAGAGTGTGCCATCACTCTACATATTGTGGTGCTGTTAATCCTGACAAGTAAACTCCATTGGATTAAGAAATGCAACATTATTGTACATTTTCATTAAGTAGTGTTAAGTACTTGATAAGGCAGACAACTGAAAGGATAGAAAAGTAAAATTAGATTCCACATGTATAAATACAGTTTAAAATGTTTAAGGAATAAATTGGACCATATATAACTAATTAAAATAATAATAATATCCAGAGTCACCTGGACTACTTGGGACCCTGAAGCACGAAGATCATTCAAGGCCAGCCTGAACCCTTGAGCTTCTATCCCAAAATATAATTTTTAGAAAGAGTTGGAGACGGGGCTGGGGATTTAGCTCAGCGGCATAAGAACCTGCCTTGCAAGCAGGTGGTCATGAGTTCGATTCCCGGTACCAATAAAAAAAAAAAAAAAACTTAGGAGATGTCACACAGATGTCTTGTGCTCTGGGTGAATGATTTGGGGATGACAATGCACAATGTATGTACCATTATTATCCCTGATTGATATACACTGAAATTTTGTTAGTTTTTTTCTTCTTTTTCTATTTATTTTTGAATAAAATAGGTATGAAAAAAATAAACAAAAAACAAAAAAGAAATGCCTAGCACATTAGTAGAGTGCAACCTCACCCCTGCGGTGTATAAGGGTGAGTCAAGGAGGACCCTGAGGAATATGAAAAAGCTGTCTACCTACTCAACTTCCTGGCCACAATGAACTAAGCACTCTTCTGCTTCCAGCAAGCAGACCATGTACTGAATCCTCTGAAACCATTAGTTAAATGAACTACTGTGTTAATCACTTTCTTGGGCACTGGGACACAATGCCCAACACCTGCGAATTAATGGAGGCAAGGTCTTAGTCTGTGATGCAGTGACTCCAAGGAATGACGAAGGAGCAATGTGGAAAGCTGCTCACATCCTAGTATGAGAATCAAAGAGAAATGAGAGAAGCTGGGGAGAGGGAGAAACCCTTCTGAGCCGAGACTCCAGTAACCCACCTCTTCTCGCTAGACCCCACCTCCTACTTAACAGCAAGTCAGCTACAGCACCCCATCAGCATTGTGTACCCCATAACTTAATCATCTAACAGCCTCTGAGGCTCTTGGGGGACATCTCGATATAAACCATAACACCTTCTCTTAGTTGTGGATGTTGGTATTATGTCTCAGGGACGGAACAGCTGAGGAATTTACAGTTTCTGCCCTTCCAGGCTGGCGACTCCAGGGTCCCAAACTTGCTTCCAGCAGGGCTGTAGAAAGCAGAGACTCCCTGGGCTGCGCCAGGTGACTACGGGATGGAAGAAGGGACTTGCTGGCTGCCAACTAGCATTGTTGCTTACAACACTGGAATGTTCCCTTTGCCCAGCGGGTGGCCTAATCTGTGAGCCACACAGACCTCCCACGCGGAAGCTAGTGCAGCACCAGCACGTTAAATCAAGCCAGTGACACCAGAGCTCTCCATGTCTCAGAGGCTGTGATTCCGGCCCAGGCCGCTTGTGCCTCCATCAGGGCCATTCTGAAGTCACCCCGCCTTCGCTGTGGTGCTGCTCCAAGACGCTGCAATCCCTCTGAAACTCTCAGAGCTCCGCAGTGACTGCACCACTGCCCTCACGTACCCCTTCGAGTTAAGCGAAATGGGTTTCATTCACACAACACGGGTTACAAGAAATGTTATTTTTATTTCCTAAAATGAAAGTTTATCTGCTCCCAGCTCTGATTCAACCGCGAGATGGGAATTCCTCTCTTCACCCATGGGGTTGTGGAAAAGTCCTGAGGTCCTGGTAGGAGCTGGAATATTGCAGCAGGACTCCAGGTTCACCACCTGGTGTTAGTCCCATGGGCTCAGCCTTTCTCCTGAGATGCCATCTACTGCGCAGGTCTGGGACAAGCTGAGGGGCGGACGCCCCTCTCCTCGAGTTCTACCCACTCTGCAGTCTCCAGATCCCAACCCCACCCCGCTCCGCGGACCAGCGCGCTTTGACACCCAAGGCCACGCCCCCCGGCCGCGTGAGGTCTGGGTAACCGCCTCCCCGCCCACCCCCCGGCTGCCCCGGCCCCCTGGGGCTCCCACCCCGCGGAATTCGAGCTCCTAAGGTGATGGTGAAGGGAGAGCTCCGGGAACTCCCCCAAGCAACGCTGGGTCCTGGCGCGCTGGGGAGGTCGTGTTCTGAGCTCGGGTGGTCTTGTCCCAGAGCGGGAGGGGGCGACAGTTCCCAAGCGCCCACCATCGCCGAGGACTCCGGGAGAACAGGCGTGGGAAGGGCCAGGCAGGCGCATGCGCGCTCAGGCAGCTAGGCTAGGGCTTCCCAGGCTTCGGGCGAGGGGAAAGGGAGATCAGCGTTTCCATGACGCGAGGGCGCAGGCGCCGGGAAGGACACGGGTCTGGGCCGAGAGGGCCGGCTTCCGGGTTAAGATGCCAGTGGAGTCTGGACTCCAGGCGGCGCACGGGCTCCGCGTTGCCCCGCACCTTGCGCTCGCGGCTCCGTTCCAGCTCCTGCCAGTGCTGCGCCTCCAGCTGCGCCTGCGGGCGGGCGGGCGAGGGTTGGCGCGGGTACGCACATGCTGCAAACCCCGCCACCGCCTCGGGCCCCCCCCCCCCCGCTCCCCGGGTTTCCCGCTCACTCGGGGCCGAGGGCGCGCAGTCCGAGGCGCCGGCACGTGCGACGAGGCCGTGTATCCGAGGCGTTCGGCCGTCCTCTCCGCGATCTTGCGTCGCAGCTCCAGCACGCGCTCATCCGGGGCTGTCACCGGGGCCATCTGCGCCTTCTTCCGTTCCCACCTGTCACGAGCGAGCGTATGTTGTGGAGTAGCGGGGCTGCTACTTGCCTCTACACTTTCCACCTTTTCACTTAACCTTGAATCCCTCTCAGTGGTACCTGGGGGTGGTGTGTGTTGTCAAACCTAGGAGCGTCCTACCACGGCGCTACATTCCCTTTTTTTAAATTGTGGGACAGGATCTTGCTAAGTTGCTCAGGTGAGACTTAAACTTGCGATCCTACGGTCTCGGTCTTCCACAGTGCTGGTGTTAACAGTTGTGTGTCACAGTACCCTGCTTTTAACAATTAACCTCATGGGGCTGGGGATTTAGCTCAGCAGCATAAGCGCCTGCCTTGCAAGCAGGCAGTCTTGAGTTCGATCTCCGGTAAAAAGGAAAAAGACAAAAAAAAAAATACCCAAAAAACAAAAAAAACAACCTCATAAAGCAAGCATTTACGTGTGTGTTAACTGCAGTAAAAACGTGGACGCCCCTTTTATCTCATACTCCCCTGGTTGCCCCTGCCTGGAGGTGACCACTGCTAACACTGAGGTGTCTGGACATTGTCACGGGCACCTAGGCCTCTTGGATGGCTCTGTCACAGCACAGGGGCTATGTGTCTGCACTGCCCCCCACTGAGGCTCTGGGCTGCCTCTCCTGACCCCCACACTGATCTGGGCTCGCAGAGGCATGCTGACACCAGCCACGTTGCTCTTGATTCTGCGGGGTTGAAGCCAGGGCAGCTGTGTGTGTGTGTCTCATTTTTGGGATGCTCTGCAGGGAGCCACACCTCCCTGGACCCTGCGGCTGGGGGCTCCCAGCTGAGAGGAGAACAGTTCCCTCCACCCAGCCCCACTCAAGAGACCTTCTCTGGAGCCCACCCAGCTCTGCTACAGTAGGTTTGGGTACCTCTTTGGGATTGGGGAGGCCCAAGGCCACTGTGACCCTGGGTAAGGTGGATGAACTCCTCCCTGTGTCTGACTGAGCAGCATGGGATAGCCACTTGCAGCCTGGGAAAAGTTACCACACTGTGTCCAAAACAAATCAGCAATGTGTGTGTGTCTGTGTGTGTACTAAGTGTGGCCCAAGTCCAGGGTATTTGTTTTTTGGGACAGTGTCTCACTATATAGTTCAGGCTGGCCTTGAACTCAAGAGATTCTCCTGCCTCAGCCTCCCAATTGCTGGGATTACAGGCATGCACCACCACGTCTAGCCAGGTCTCAGTTTTTAAAGAAAAAAAAAAAGTTACAGCAAATGTTGGTCTTGGGGCCACTGGCAAATATGGTTGGGGCCACTGGCAAATATGGACAAGATACTTAGGTGAGGTTGGGAATTTTGTTACCTTTCCTAACTGGGTAATGGTTCTGGGGTTATATAGCACAGTCTTTTTAAAAATGCATGCTAGGTTCAAAGAAAGAGACTTTATGGTAGCTACTGTTATATCAGGTTGTCTTGTGGTGAAATACTGTGTTGCTTAAATTGTTCTGTTCTGATCTGCTTTATTATGCCTTTTGTCTGAATCTCTTTAAAATAAAATTTTAAAAAGAAAAAAATAGCTGAACTGGAAAAAATAAAAAAAAAGATGCATGCTAGGCTGTTCAAGGAGGAAGCATCTGATGTCGGTAACTATTCCCAAATGGCTCTGCAGGCAGATAAGCAGCTAGTTACCCAGCTCATGAGTGACAAAAAGTTGTCCTGTGCCCTAGGTGTCAAGTAACTGCATCTGGGTCCTGAGCATGAAAGCTTCTGTCTCCACCATTTCCACATGCCTGAAGTCATCTACTAAAATCAGAGGTTGGGGAAGCTGTGGCTAGGGATCTGCCTGGCAGAGGGTGCCCTTCCTGTCCCCAGCACACACCTCAGGGCCGCGGTTCTACCCACAGCCTTGCGGCACAGGGATATCTGTTCCACAGTGTTTTGTAGCTCCTTGCTTTTGATGCGCTTGTCCCAAATGATCTGATCCCGCCTCTCCTCCTCCTCATGCTTCTGTGTCTCCTTGAGCAGGGCCAGTCGCTCCTGAAGCTCCACCATGGACATCTCCCCTTCCAGGCCATATCCAGGGGTCTACAGGATTGTGGGGGAGGCGTCCCCAGCTTGGGGGCTGACAGTCCTTTGCTGGGTGACCTTTGCTGGGTGCCCTTCACCTCTGGAGCCAGGCCAGACCCTACCGCCCACTGCTGCAGGCCCCTCCAGCCCAACTGCCTTGGCCCCGCAGCCTGGCCCCCTCTGCTTTCTCACACAGCCTCCCTCCTGGGAGCTTTTCCCCTTAGCCCCATGCTCCCTCCAGCCAAACATCTGGACACCTGTGCTGTCCCTAGCTGCCCTTCCCGCTCAGACCAGGGAGTCTCTGGGCCCCTGGACACACAGGGTCCAGTTGGCCACTCTGAAGCTTGCCTCGCCACCTTGGGGACCCTGTCTCCTGCCCCTCAAACAGACCTAGCTCAGAGCCTGGCTTGCTGGAGGCTGAATGCTCGCTGCTACTCACCTGGGTCAGGTCTACCAGCTTGCCCCTGCGTGAGGGCTGTGTCTCCAGCGCGCGCAACTGGGAGATCAGCTTGCTGCGCTGCCTCTGCTCTATCTCGGCTGCCTTCATACTGTGCTGCAGCAGCTCCCGGCTCTCCTCGGTCATCTCCTGGACTTGGGGACCGGGTGAGGTGCTGAGGGAGCCAGGCTTCTCCTCCCAGCCAGTGTCCCAGCCTGTCCTCCAGGGACAGCAGCTGGGGTGGGTCCTGGTTCAGGTCCCAGGCAGGAAGGAACAGCAGAGCTGGGTGCCTGGCTCCTGCCCTACCTATTTGCCGCCGGCTCTTCACCAGCTTCAGCTGAGCCACCTTGACATTCTTCTGTGCCTCTGTCACCTGCTCCACCAGCTGCTTCATGGCCCTCTCCTCCTGGAGGCGTTGTTCGGCACATTGGAGCATCAGCTCCACTGTCTGTGGGGTGGAGGACCCAGCAGGGTGAGAGGCAGCGGGGTTCCCTTCCCATCCCAACCCTGGAAGGACTCCTCACTTCCCCAGTGTGGTCCTGTGTGTGGGTGTCTGTTACAGCTGCCCAGACACACAGGGAAGGGCAAGATGTGCACACTGAAGCGAGCTGGGCAGAGAATACAGAAGTTCTTATATTAGCTCTGCAATTTTTTGTAAGTCTTTTTTTAATTTTTATTTTGATACAGAGCCTTCCTGTGTAGTTTAGGCTGGCCTCCTGAGTGTGTATCAACACTCCTGGCTTTTCTGTAAGTCTTTAAACTGCCTTAAAATAAAAATTTAGCTGGACATAGTGGCACATGCCTGTAGTCCCAGCACTCTGGAGGGTGAAACAGGATTGTTTGCAAATTTGAGACCAGCCTGGGCTACAAAGTGAGCTCAAGGCCTGCCTGAACTGCATGGTGAGACCGTGTCTCAAAAAGACAAAATAAAAGATTTACTTTAAAAATTACTGTGGATAGGGTCATTGGTAGAGCAGGCATGCCTAGTCCTGTACAGCCTGTGGGTTCTATCTACAGAACTATGATACAGCATATTACCAGATTTTCGTTGTATTTTTTTGCTGTGGCTATGGAACCTCAGGGCCTGTTGAATGCTATACATGTGCTCTACCACTAAGCTAAACCTCCAGCTCTACTTTCGAAATTTTGAAATGAAGTAGAGAAAAAGGGAACTAGCAGGTGAAAAGAGTGGCTACTACAGTGTATGTGTCGTTGTTACAAATGAGAACACACGCCCTGTACCCCATGCTGAGTGGGGGCAGCTTGGACACACTGCTGGGGATGAGGTGACAGGGCAGGGGGACCAGGTAGGTGAATACCCCCAAGGGCCTGTGTCCTCTCCACTGTGATACTGCAGTAACTTCTGTCCCCCTATCCCGGGTCAAGAGGTTGACGGGGGATCCTGGACTTGATTGCCCAGGTGGTAAGAAGGTGGCAGTGCCCTCTCCTGTCTTCCAGGATGGTGTTTGAGGGAGATGCTAAACCATGAAGACTCCTTATGAGCCAGAGGCTTGTATAGATGCCCTCCAAGGTCCAGGCTTCCACAAAAGCTCGCACATCACACAGAAGCCAAGGTGACCTCAAAGTGAGTAAAGAAGGGCGGTCAGCACATGCAATGCTGAGATGACAGACGCTGGGTTCCACAAAGTCTTACAAAGCACTGTGGAACTGCAGCACGGGCGACTGTGAGCTTGCTCCAGAGAAATGATTGTAGTGCAATTTCAGTGAGGACCACACAATACATTCATTCCAAGCCCGCTGCATGTACAGCCAGGCAGACCGCACCCCAGGGCAACATGTTTAAAAGAACTGAGATCATAGTGTGTGTTCTCAACTACAATGGAATCAAACTCACAATCAATAACGAGAAGGTGGCAGGAGAATCCCAAAGTGTGGAAACCAGCACACCTCTAAATAACTTCTGAGGCAGGGAGAGACCTGAGGAAAATGGAAAACATACCCTGAACTGGATGGCAATGAAACACAGCACACCACACTTTGTAGGACATGGTCGGACAGTAAGTAAAAGGCAATGGACAGTATTGGATCTTACAGCAGAGGAGCCAGGAAATCCAGATCAATAATCTACACTTCCATCTCCAGACTAGAAACAGTGGAGCAAAATAAGAACAAAACAAACAGGAGGAAAATGACAATCAATTGACAACAGCAAAGTAAATCAGGCATGGGGGCACGTGCCTGTACTCCCAGGAACTCTGGAAGCTGAGGCAGGATGAGTGGAAGTTCAGGGGCACCTTGTACAATTTAGTAAGATCTTATCTCAAAGTAAAAGGAAAATTGGTCTGGGAATATAGCTCAGCAGTAATGCCATGTGTTAGGCCCTGAATTCAATCCCTAGTACAAGAGGGAAAAAAAGAAAAGAAAAGGAAAATAACTCCAGCAGAACCAAACAAATTAATGAAACAAAATAGGCAATTTTCTGGTAAGATAAATAGAATTGAAACATCTCTAGGAAGTACTACAGGGAAAAAAGGGAAAAGATACAAAATGCCAGTGTTAGGAACAAAACTATAGACATAAAATGGATGTAATAGAACATTGCAGTCAACACCTAGGTACATAAATTCAACAGCTGTGTGAGACACACCAGCTCCTCAAAATAGGCAAACTATCACAACACGCTAAGTGTGAACTGATTGACTAGTCCTACAACTAGTAAGGAAATGGAATTTGTAACTCCAAAACCTCCATGAAAGAAAGCTGCTGCTGAGGGCGTAACTCAGTGGTAGGGCACATGTGCTTAGATGGTCGAGATCCTGGGTTTGTCCTCAGTACAAAATCAGTAAACTCAACTAAGAAGAAAAAGCAGATCTTAACATTGAATACACAAACACAAGTGAGTCTCAAGGAGTGTGAGTGACCTTCCCACGCCTCCAGCGCAGGTGCTCGGTGGGAAGCATCTTAGGCAAGACAGCCCAGGTCAGACCTGCTGGTTGGAAGACCCAGCTAGGCAGTATGGAAGAAGTGCTAGTCCTGGGACATCAGGAGCCTCTGGAGTGGCACCATGGATGTCCCCAACCTCTGCCCCAGGAGTGGAGGCCGTGACCCTGACAGGTCAGCTTCACTGGATTTAGGAGTGTAAAGCAGGTTACTAGAGCACACACCTACTAGACTCTGACCTTGGGGTTTGTATCTGGCCCCTTCCTCACTGAGTGGTTTTCCTCTGCCACAATGTTCCTCCCCTGGAACCAACTAACCATGGACTGAATCCTCTGAGACTTTGAGCCAAGCAGATCTTTCCTCCTTCAAGTTGCTGTGTCAGTGTTGTGTCCCAGGACAGGGAAGTTGACTGATACAGATGCCACATGCAAACACATTCTGGGATTTTCTGCCAGAACTGCTCTCAGGGGCACTCTAGAATCTGTGGACTCTGTGACCTGCTGGTGAGGAAGACGGTAGTCTGGGGCAGGAGTACTGGTCACAGTCACGTAGCCCTGGTGATGTGAAACCCCTCGGGGCCCTTCCCTGCTGAGACAGGGGCAGAGAATCTAGGCCATCCTGCAGGTCTTAAGAGGACATAACTCAGAGTCAGTTGAAAGCTAACAGCCACAAGAGCATGCCTTCAGTGGTTTTCTGCCGGCCACAGCCCAGGCTCCTGCAGGTCGTGGCTCAGCCAGTTCTGTGCACTCATAGTTGGGTATATCGCTCATCACCTGCTCCTTTTTCCGGTCTGCCTTCTGCTTGTTCTCCTGCAGGACGTGCTGCCGGGCCAGCATAGCTTCCTCATGACTCAGCTTCCCTTGCAGCCTGCGACATTCACTCATGGCCAGCTGTTCTGCCTGGTCCTTCGCCCGCATCCTCTCCTGCCACTCAAGGAATTCAGAGAGGTCCCCACACCCATCCACAAGCTTGTCAACCCTGTGGAAGCAAGGACAGAGATGCAGGTTGGGGTCCTTCAGATGAGCAGGGCCACCAGCACGCTACAGTTCCCCTGGGGGGCTGTGGTCCTTAAGCACTTGGCCTCATCTCCTGCTGACCCACTGATCTCTCCCAGTTCCCTCCTCTGTACCCATGTACCAGCACATCATTCTAAGCTCCCCTCAGTCACTGTTTACTCTGTTCCTGTCTATCCATCTGCCATTCCTGTGTCCACTGTGTCTGGACATGATCCCCATCTTCCTGTCTGTCCATCTTCCCAACTCAGACATGGAAGGATCCAAGTGGGCAGCTTGGAAAAAGCATTAGGAAGGGGTCTGGAAGCAGGTGACCAAGGGAAGGTTTGGGGAGGGCCAGGGGTCTGGCAAGTCTCTCCTGCCCTGGTGCATTTCTCCCCAGAGCTGGAGTCATCTCTGTGAAGGGTGGCCCGGGCCTAACAGTCCTGTTGCCACCTCACCTGAAGGACCACTGACTCCTGCCATCCTGTTTTCCATCCCTGCTTCTGGCCATAGCCCTTCTAAAATCCTCAGAGTTGCTAAAGTGTTCAGTGTCTCTTACATGCTAATAAGAAGGCTGCTGGCTAGGGCCCTAGACAGGGCCTAGTGCTGGTCACCAGAAAGACAGGTAGGATCTGAGGACTGGACTTTCATCCTCACCGGAGCCTCCAGGGAAGGGAGGAGAAATCAGAGTTGAACTGACCACTATGCTGAGGATGTCACCAGTGCCCATGCACTGCAGCCCCATAAAAATCCAAAGGACAGGTTGCAGGGGTGGAATAGGTGGGCATCCTGGATATCAGAGCCCAGAGAGGGCATGGAGGTCCCTACCCCTTCCCCACTGGTAATACCCTGTACCCTTGGTAATAACCCATCAGCAACCTGTAACGGGTATAGTGGTACATGCCTGTAAACCCAGAATTTGTGAAGGTGAGGCATAAGAAAACAATTTAGAGAGATTGTCTCAAAATGAAAAACATTGTTTAAAGGGATTGGGATGTAGCTCCCCAATGGGAAGGACCTGGGCTCAATTCCTAGCACCACAAAAACAAACAAACAAAACCAAGATGGTGATCCAGAACAGAAGAAACTTGAGGAGGAGGCAAGAAAACCCTATTTATAGCCAGGGGTCAGAAGCACAGGTGCCACCTGAAGATCAGGGTTGGCATCTGAGGGCCAGACTGGCTGCGATGCTACCTGAGCAGGGAGGGCCCCAGGGACCACTCTGCTGCTGCTGGGAGCACAGAGAAATGGTCTGGTTGGTGTCTTCCGTTGCATCCTCCAGCCTCCAGCCCTCTCCTGCAGGGGGCACCCTGGAGGAGCGGTGCAGAGGAACCCAGAGTCCCATGCCTCACCTCTTCAGCTCCTTCTCCACCTGGCGCTGGTACAGGGCTCCTCCCCGAAGGATGGCAGCCACATTCAGCTTGACGGGAATGTGGACAGGCTGCAGGGGATGGTGGAGAGGGGCTGACAGTGGGCTGGGGGTGGCCAGGCCCTCCCTGCTAACCCCTGCCCAGATCATTGCCCTCCTCAGCATGGGGCTGTCTTGGCCCCCCCCCCCAGGTCCTAAGGGGCGGGAGAGGTAGGGCCCCTCACCCTGTAGAAGGTCAGCTTGGGAGTCTTCCTGATGTGGGACAAGGCAGATGAAAGCTGCAGCTGCTTCTTGGGGTCCTGCGCAAGCCAAGCAGAGACAGCCTGGCACCTGTGCCTCCTTGGGGCCCAACCTGCCTGGGCGGACAGCCTGGTTGCACCCATGGAAGCCCCCTCCATGTGCTCCCACCCTGGCTCCCCTGTGCGGCTTCTGGCCTCTGTGTCCTCTGGCTCTGCTGTGGTGCTGATAGAAGTCTGAGATGCTCCACTTGGGGAGGGTTGGAGGCTGGAGGATGCACTGGGAACCCAGAGATGAGGCTGCAGGGCACATTCTTAGTGTGCGCTTTCTCCAGGGCTCAGGTGCATGCTCATCTGCCGGTACTGTGTGGCCCCAGGACCACTCCCAGATATATTGGGAATCTGCCCATGACAGGAAGATGCTAATTAACTGGACCCTGGGTCACTACTGAAATAGTGTCCTTTGTTTTTGATGGCACTGGGATTGAATATAGGCCTTCATACTGAGCCATATCCCCAGCCCTTTTATTTCGAGATCCCAGGATCTTGCTATGTCACTAAGTGGCCAAGACTGGGTTTGAACTTGTGATCCTCCTGCCTCGGCCTCCCAGATTGCTGGGATTCACAGGCATGTTCCATTGGAATTTCTCTGCGACTTGAGTTTAGGCCATGCTAGAGGCTGGCTGGCATTACCTGTGTGGGTGGCTCCCCGTGGGACCTGGGCATGGCACACCGCAGCTCCTCCTTGTTGGCCAGCAGCAGCAGCTCCTGCCAGGACACCACACAGCTCCTGCCTCAGGGACCCAGTCCCCACACCCGTGGGCCCTTGAGGGAACCCACACACAAAGCCCACCAGCCCCCTCCCCTCAGCAGGGTCTCTGGGCAGGCAGGGGCGCCGCCACCTCGGCCCTTAGGCGGTTGAATCTCTTGACCAGCTGCAGCCGCTGTTGCTCCTTGGGCTCCTGGTAGGTGCTCCGAGGGACCTGCAGGGGTGAGCTGGTCAATAGCCCCACATAGAGGACGTCTAGAAACCCAGCACTGGTACAGGACGTGTGTAAGTGAGGGGAGAGTAGACAGTAATGGGGCCTGCAGAGAAGGCCCTGCCTAGGAGCCATTGGGGACAGTGGATGTGGGGGTGGTCCAGGTCTGAGGGGGGCAAGAAGCCAGCGGGTTTGGCAGCTCCTGACCTAAAGGGCAGTAGAAGGCCTGGGGTGCCAGGGACCCAGGAAAAGGAGTCCCACTGGGATGGCCCGGCAGAGACCAAGGTAGCCTCAGGGACACACGCAGGGTCTAGTCACAGCCATGTCAATCGAGCCATGTCACTGCCAGAGCGCCCTGAGAGCCAGGCCTCCACACGCCACACTTCCTGCTCCTCCCAACCGCTGAAACTCAGCCCATAAAATTTGAGCCCTCGTTTTTCCCACACTGGACAGGGGCACTGGGAATCCTCGTGCCGCCTGTGTCCCTCACTGTCACCTCAGCCTGTCCTGCTTGCTTCAGCACGCCTCCGAACACTGCCTCATACTTCCCACCTTGCTGTGTCCCCTGGATGTGTGGTGGCCCCATGGCCCCTTTCCCTCCTGGGCGCCAAGGAGGGCACTTCCCTGGCCTTGGCATGCACTCTGCTTGTGCCCACCCTGCCCTGCCTTGCCCCCAGCCCACGGTGCCCTCTGCAAGGTCCTTACTCTGCGCACCTCTCCCCATGGCCTGCACCAAGCTGCAGCCCCTGCCCTGGCCGCTTCCACACCCCTTTCCTGGTGTCATTGCTCCCTGTCCTCAGCACTTGTCACCTCCTGACACACACATGTGAGGAAGCTCATGTTTCCCGCTTCCTGCAAAGCACAGGCCCTGGGGACACAGTGCCTGCTGCCAGTAGGGTTCTGTGACTGTTGACCCAACACATGCGTGAACTGGCTGCATCCTGGCCAGGACCAGGGCAGCGGGGCAGAGAGGGCAACTGTGTGGGTCCAGCAAGACCACCTTGTGGGGAAGAAGAGTGTCCACCAGCATTGCACAGCTGGCTGCAGGGCAGGGGCTGGGCCAGGCTGGGGAGAGATGGAGGGAGGAGGGAGGGAGGATAGTGGGAGGGAAGGGAGGAAAAAGAAGAGGGAGAGCCCAATGACTTGAGAAAAATGCACTGGTTCCTGAAGAGATGGGGTCAGAAATGTTGAAGATCTTACAGATGGATTAACTGAGGGTTACTTAGCAACAAGGCCCCTGATCATCTATCCATCTATCCTTCCTTTGTTCTACTCATCCATCCTTCCACCCATCCATCCATCCATCCATCCATCCATCCATCCATCCATCCATCTATCCACCTGCCCATCCACCTGTCCATCCATCCTTCTGTTCACCTATGCATTCATCCTTCTATTCATCCATCCATCCATTCATCCACCTACCCATCCATCCATCTTTCCTTCCTTCTACCCACCCAGTCTTCCATTTGTCCATCCACCTGCCTGCCCATCCATTCTTCCATCCATCCAACCTTCCTACCTTCCACCCACCCATCCTTCCATTCATCCATCCACCTGCTCATTCATCCATCTATCCATCCTTCTACTCATCTATCCATTCTCCAATTCATCTATCTACCCATCCATCCATCTTTCCACACTTCCACCTTGGAGCCTACAATTCGTCCATCCACCCACCCATCTATCCATCCATCCTTTCATCCAACAACTATTTCCTGAGAGTCTGTTCTGGGTCAAGACTATGCCAGCCCCATTGCAAATGTGGGACAAAAAAAGATGGATGTGGTCTGGTAGAGGAGAGAGACAACAAGCAGACTCACACATTACTAGACTCATCAATGCTACAAAGAAAAGGAGCTGGATTACAGAGCAGGAAGCTAAGTGAGAGATGCAACAGAATTGAGGCTTCATCAAGAGCTTCTGTGAAGAGATACCTGAATGAGATGGGCCTGCGGTGGCACCTGGGACCTCCTGGCACTATCCCCTTGGCCTCCTATGGCCCAAGATGTCCTTCTCTGGCCTGGACAGTGTAGGACATGATGTAAAGCCTATTTATGGTTTTTTTTACTCCCATGAAGGAAGTTAGCACAAAAAGGAAGTACAGAAGAGATGGAGGCAGAATCACAGAGAAGCAGAGCTGGAGATTGGATCAAGTCATGCCTGAAGCCTACCCTATTTCAGTGGTGAGAGACAGGCCGTGGCCTCTTGTCCAAGTCATTTTTCTATTAGTGGCAGAGCGTCCTGACTCATAAGTTAGGCAGGCAGAGAGTGACATGGGACAGATGTGCAGAGGCCCTGCAGTGGAGATGTCACTGTGCCCACAGCCCAAAGGGTGCATACACTGTGATCTGATGCGCAGCATCTCATGGAGAGGGCAGCACACTGCACCAGGCTAGAAGTGGGCTCCAAGCCCCAGCTCCATGGCTGACAGCTCCCCTGCATGCCTGCTGATGGGGTCCCACTCATGGTGGACCCCAGGTCTCCTGGATGCCCTGCTCCACGGGGGTCACCCGTCACTCCCAATCAGAGCAGATGCACCCTGGCCCTAGAAGAGCCCAGCTCCCAGTGGCCCCTGAAGACCACCCTCCTAGCTGGAACATCCCAGAGGTACAAGCCTGTGCCCCTGCAAACGCCCAACTCACAGGTCTTGGCCTAGCCACAGTGGGGACTGGGTCAGGCACTGGAATGGCGCGGGGCCGGGGTGCAGTCAGGTGGAATTCCCGAGGCTCTGTGACCTTGGCCTTGACCTTGGTGAGAGTGGCCTGGTAGGCAGATCCCCCCTCCAGCTGGTCAAGCAGATCCTGGACCTCCGGCTGCCACCTGGGAGGTGAACGGAGAAGCCCTTGAGTCACTTCCCGTGTGGGTCACTGGGGTTGGGCCTTGGGACTCAAAGGACCCCAGGACCTGGGTCTCCCTCAAGATCCTGATGACAGGACTGATGGCCCCAATTCCCTGGTTACCAGTACTTCAGGCACAGCCCAGTCACACTCCTTGAGCAGATGAGGAGGAAACTGAGACCTGGGCGGTAGTGAGAGGGGAGCTGGGTGCCAGGCATCCAGGGAACATGGAACCGAAGCAGGGGGATGTGGAGCTAAACTAGGGCAGAGCAGATAGCACAGGCTAGGAAGTCAGGAGCCTTCTGGAGTGGCACTGGGGTGGCAGGTGCAGTGGGAGTGGAGGGAATCAGGGGGCCAGGGGCAGTGCCTGCGGGGAGTACAGCTGCCCTTAGACGGGCTCAGGCTGGATGCTCTGGACTAGGCTTCGGGCGCCTTGCTGGGAACTGCCTACCACCACCATGTCCAGACTAGAGCCACCTGAGGAGGATGCTGGGGTGAGGCCACTGCAGAGGGATCTGAGGATGCCATGCCAAGCTGGCCTCAGGGCCCCCAGGCAGGGAAGGGGCAGCATGTTTGGGAAGACTGAACCTAGGGAGGCTGGGGAAGCATGACAGGGTGCCTCTATTCCCTCAAGTTCTGTCCCCCTACCGGCAGCAGGGATGCTCTGGGACTGTCCCTCTGTGGTGACAAGACAGATCCAGGGACCCCCACTGTGGAAGCCAGGGACCTAAGTGGCCCACTTGTGCCAAGTCCCCCAGAAGACAAAGGGGCTTCGCGATCCTCTCAGCAGCAGACACCTGGGGTCCCCTGCAGCAGGCCTCCTAGTAGCTGCTCTGAGCCTCTGCCCATGGTCCAGTCTGCCCTAAGCTTGCTCTGGGCTAGGGGGCAGAGAGGGGAGTAAGGGAAGCTTGGGGTGCCTGGCCTGGCACAGGGCCCTGGGGACAGCAGAGCACAAGCTGGGCCTGAAGTACCAGGAGCCAAGCTGGTGCTCTTCCTGTCTCCCCCAGTTCCCTCACCCTGTACTCTTGGGGTCTGGACAATGGCAAGTACATGGCTGGGTCATTGCCACCAGCCCCTGCACAATGGGTAGGCTCTGGAGCAAAAGTGCAACCCCTGGTACACTTGGGGTGTGGGCATGGGCACAGAGGGTCCCTGGACTGATGGCCAGGACATGTCCTGCTCTCCTTGCAGAGGCTGCAGGGCCAGGCAGGGCTGTGGGCCTCTCTGACCCAGGGTAGCAAGGAGGCACTGCCATACTGACGTGCCAGTATGGGGTGGGCTGTCCAGGGCCCGGGATGCCCCCACCACACTCCACCTCAGTAGGGGCTCGATCCAGTTCTCCTGCACGTGGGCTGCCGTGTAGATGAGGCTCCACTCATCCTTGATCCAGGAACACAGGTTTAAGGGGTTGAAGAGGAATCTGAGGAACTGGGGGGTGGGGCCATGAGGGGTAGCGCCGGGGCCAGACCCCCCAGCACCCGTCCTTCCTGGGGGTCAGCTACCTAGCACTGTGTGCTGCACGCTGTTCCTGCTCCCAGGCAGTGGAGCCGCAGGGAAGCTTCCTTTTCGGCCCACGGGCTCTGGGCTTGTAAGGCTGGAACTGTGCCATTTTTTACAGCCTGCTCCCTCTGACTCGGCTCCCACCCCTGCACTGAGGATGTGTCCCCTAGGCCCAGCATCCACCCTGTGTCCTTGCATGGCAGGGCCCCTAGGACTGCCCACAGCTCTGGTTCAGGGAAGCTGGGAAGCCAGGAGGACTCCGCCCAGGTGACTGGGCTGACTGGCTGGGAAAGGGGGTGGGAGTCCAGGTGGGCTGCGCCCCTGAGCCAGCTGCAGGACTGCGGGGTGGGGGGCTGTGCAGAGCCTCCCCACCTGCCCTGCCACCTCTTCCCCCCTAGCCCAGGGGTCTCTGGGCCCTCTCCCTCAGCCCACATTCCTCTGCTAGCCGGGCTCCTCCTGTCCCTGCAGTGTGTGTGTGTGTGGGGGGGGCAGTGTCCTTGGAGCTACCCCACGGCCACTTTCCTCACATGCTGCTTACCACAAAGTCAGTCCTGACCACAGAGTGACAGTGCCCACAAGAAGCCATCCTGTCCCCCACAGTCTGCTCCCTCTGAACGGGCAGAAGGAACCTGATGGGCTGTCAGTGGCCTCTGCAGCCCTGCTGCTCCCTGGGCATCACGTGACTGTCACCCTGGGTCAGTTCAACACTGTGTGGGACACTGCCCTGGCCCTTGTGTGCTGGGCAATTGGTACCCAAGTGCTTGCTGAGTGCCCAAGGGACCTAGATGAGATAAAAGGTGACTCCCTGATTAACAGTGGGTAAGAAAATCAGCAGAAGCCTGGCATGGCCCAGCATACAAGAGGCTGAGGCAGAAGGATTGCTGGGAGCTCAAGGCCTGCCTCAGCTACAAAGTGAGTTCAAGGCCAGCCTGAACTCCATAGTGAGACCCTGTCTCAAAAAATGAACAAACAAAAAACAAAACAAAGCAACAAGAAAGTGGACTGGGGATGTAGCTCCCACAGAGAGTTTGAGTTGAATCCCCAGTGTGGTCCTGGTGGTGCTGCTGTTCCCAGCCCCGCCCTACAGAGCTGGTAGCTTCATCCAATGAGACACCCATGTGACACCCACATGCTCCTAACCCATCTTCCCTGTCCCTTCTCCATGGTGTCACCATGGGCTGGCGACTACCTGTTCTGGGAGGAGGAGCAGGTACCAGACACAGTGAAGCCTGGCCTCCGGCAAGCCTCCTCTGGTGGTGGCAGATGGGCAAGGTGCAGTGGGAACTTAGCCACATGCAATGTCTGTGCCCTCAGGGCCCTGTGTCCCTCCTTCCACAGAGGTGGCCCCCAGGGCACAGGCACTGGAAGAAGCAGCTCCCTCCCCACTGACTACAGACGCTTCATCCCCAAGTCATAGAACCAGGTGTCCCTGGGGACAGAGTACCCATTCTCTGGCTAAAGGACATTGGTTTTCAATGCAGAGTGAAACCATCAGAGATTCTCCCACTAAAAGGAACCGGGAAGGTGGGGCCTGGTGCCCTGGGGTCCCTGTGGCATGGTCCCTGCTGCAGTGGAGGACAGGGCTTACCTTACACGTCTTGCCCATAGGCAGGATCTTGACAATGCTGCAGAAGAGCTGGAAGCCAAGCTCATCCAACTGGAAGGTTGCCAGGTAGCAGAGCACTGAGGAAAGAACAGCATGAGGGGCTCCTTGGAGGATCACCTGAGGCTGAGGACGGAGCTTTGCCTTTCTGGCTTGGCTTCCCCACTCCCTGCAATCCTCACCCCATCCTTCCCCCAGGGCTGGGCAGCAAGGACAAGGTCAAGTATCCATGGTGGCACCAGCCACTCGGCCCATAGTCAACCTGCTCTATGAAAGCATACAGGGGCTGGAGGCCTCCCTCCTCGCTCCTCTCCTCCTTTCTTCCTTCCTTCTTTTTTTCCTTCCTTCCTTCCTTCCTTCCTTCCTTCCTTCCTTCCTGTCTGTCTCTGTCCTGGGAATTGAACCCAGGGCCTTCACAAGGACCTACATCTCTTACCCTTTTCTAACATTTATTTTGTGACTTGGCACCCTCTTGCCTCAGTCTCACAGAGTGCCAGGGTCGCAGGTGAGCCCCAGCTGCTTGGTGGCCACCTCTCCTATTTAACTTCCGTGAGGGTTCCAGCTGTGGCTCAGGACCCATTCTGCCCAAAGTTCCTGAGGGTGGTGGAAGGGTTAGGGATAGACCGAGAAAGGAGGGACACTGTCACTCACCCAGACCACAAGCTGGGGGGCAGCAGGGGCAAGGTCTCGCTGCTAGCACTTCAGCCTTCCATCAGCCTGAGGCCTCAGTTTGCCAGCTGTGAGGTAAGGGAATGTGTCTAGCCTGGTCAGCCTGCCACTATCTAGGTTGGGGAGTCTGCTGTGAGGGGAAGACAGGCAGGGGTCCAGGGATACACAGATGACACTCACCTTGGAAGAGGCTGTAGTCAGCCCATAGGCAGAGCTGGCCATCCCGCACATAGAAGGCATCAACTACGATGGCCAGGAGCTTCCAGTACTGTAGGCAGCCAGACAGGAGCTCCCAGGCAAATGTCTGCTTCTGGGCATTCAGCGCCTGGGGGAGAAACAGCTGGAGGGGTGGCCAGGGTTGCTAGGAGTGGGGTGAGGCAGGGACGAGTGTCCCCTCCAGGCTGGGAGGCCCTGGCTCACACCATCCTCCTGGAGCAGTAGGCAGTCATGGAGGTGACCAGGAGGGGCCCAGGGACTGGTGCTCAGTTCCAGGCTGGCATGGAGAGAAGCAAAGGCAAAACAAACAGGAAAAGTGATGGGAGGAAAAAGGATAGCAGAGGGCGAGGGTCCCAAAAGTCCTCATTGACTGCCTTGGGAGGATGGTGGGGCCAGGGTCAGGGAGGGCACAGGGGCTGGTGCTTCATAGGGACAGTGCCAGGTGGGAAGGTGAAAAATTCTGGAGACAGATGGGGTGGTGGCTGCATATCCAGGACAATGAGCTGAAAACCATGGAACTAGATACCCGGGAAGTGGTTCAGTGATAGATTTTGTATCATGTGCACCTAACAATAATGTAAAGAATGAGCTTGTTTAGAGGTTTGTGGGTGAAGGAATAAAAAATTACCAAAAAGCATGAAGCACAAGCAAGCAAATGGGAGCTGTGCAGCATGGGAAGGAGCCATGGCGTGGGGGGCGCTCATGGGGAGCGCACTGGTGGGGCACAGGGGGCCAGGAAGGTGGGTTGGCCGGAGTCCTGCTGGGAATGCACCAGAGCTGGCCGAGCAGCTGGCCTCACAGCATGGTCACATGGTCCTCAAGCCTAGTACCCTTCCTCTTGTGGTGCTGGGCAAGCACACGACATAGCCCCCTCCCCCAGCTGCCACGCTAGTAAAGAAACATTGCTGTCTCGTTATTGTTTTGAATTTTTTTATTGGCAGTGAAATTTCCAGGCGTTAACCTGTCTTCTCCTCCTGCGGATCATCAGCTTGCACTGTCAGTTAACCTTAGTTTTCAGTACTTGGGATTGAACCCACAGTCCAGCCCAGGCCAGCCTCACACCTGTGCCTGCTACCACACTCGATTTAACTTTTAATTGATTTTTTTGTTGGTTTTGGCTTTTGGAGACAGTGTCTTGCTCTAAGTTCAGGCTGGCTTTGAACTTTTGGTGATCTTCCTGCCTTAGCCTCCAGTGCTGGGATTACAGGTGTGCACTGCCATGCTTGCTGTTAACTTCTAATTGGAGTAACATTTTCCTTAGTCATTTTTATGACAGTCACTTGTTGTGAGGCAATTTCCTTTTGATTTTGTGTGAACTATTGGGGAACTTTTTACTTTGTTTTGCAGTCACATCTGTCTCTTCCTTCGAGATGTCTCCTCTTGTGTTCAGGCAAAGCAAACACGAGGGCCATGAGGCCACCCGAGGGCCTTAGGGCAGCACTGGGTCCACTCTCTTGCTTAATTCCCTGCAGGCATGGCCCAGCACAGGGGCCGGGGGCCCTGAAATGCCCATGGGAGGAAGCAGAGGGGGAGGGGCTCCTCCCCTAGCTCCAGGAGGGAGCACAGGCCCCCACTGCCCGGACTGGCTGCCTCTGGGAAAGGAGGCCCAGGCCGGGCAGAGCAGCTCTGGCCTCAGGAAAGGAGCAGACTGTGGCCACAGGTGCTCACAGATTATGCCTGCATTTCAGATGTACATGTGTCTTTCTTAGTAAGGCCTGGTTGTGGGCATGGCTACACTCCTTGTTGGCAGGGCCATTTGCTTGACAAACTGCTGTGTCGCCTCTAAGAAACCCTTTGAAAAGAAGGCAGTCAGCTGCTGCAGGCCTTGGGCTGTTTGCCTTTGCCCTCTTCTCACTTGAGATGTGGGTACAATAACTGAAGGCGGCCATCATACTCTATGGCTGCATGGAAAGGGACCCGCTGTCTGGCACCACAGAGCCGCAGAGCCGCCCTGGGCTGTCTGTTTGCAGATTGCTTCTCAGGTGAGCAAGGAGGCCACTTGTTTACCTAAGCAGCTACTCTTCTGGATCACGATATAGCTAAACATAGTTTCCTAACAGTCATAGATTGGAGCAGATGGTTCAAAGAAGAGGTACGTAACATGTGAAAATTTGTGAAAATACACAGGAGAAATGCTGGTTATAACTCTACCAGGTGCTTCCACCACTTATTTGTTGGTAGAAAATAAAATGTTTGCTTGCACTGGGCCAGTGAGGGTGGGAGAGAACAGGTGCTGGAGGAGGAGGGCAGCATCGATGTCCAGATTTCTGCAACAGCCCGCTGAGATATCCCGAATCTGGGCAAGGTGGTGCACACCTTCCTGTACTTCCAGCACTCTGGGAGGCTGATGCAGGAGGAGCACAAGCTTGAATCCCAAGCTTTTCATTTTTTGAAAAGTAAAAGGAGCTGAGGATGTAGCCCCGTGCTAAAGCCCTGGGTTCACCGCACCCAGAACTGGAAAAAGAAAGAGGCAGTCTTGCAGCAAGAATTTGTTTTCTGGGACTCAAATCTTAGGCATACCTGGCTAGGGGCAAAGGGACAGGACAGGTGGGCCAGTCAACCCATTGCTGTCTGCACAGTAAGCACAGGAAATGTGCGCTGGCCCCTGCACAGGGTGAGCGGCTCTGACTGACAGTGCAGGCAGCAGAATGCTCTGAGGCCCTTGGTCAGGAGATGGAAATCCCAGCACATTTGCACATGGGAAGGGCATAGAACAATTCCCACAAAGCCTGGTAGAATGGAAAGAAGGGTGCAGAGGTGCCAAGAGCTGTTTTCAGATGCACAGCTGTTTCTTAGCTTCTTTTCCATTCTGACAACAGAGCGCCACACTGGGTAACTTACGAAGCAAAGAGGCTTCCTTGTCTCACAGGTCATTGAGACTGGGCGTGAAAGAGAGACCTGCTCTGTGTGGTGGCCTACGACTCGGGGCACCCTTGCTCTGTGACAGTGCTGTCCCCTGGACTTGAGCTTCCCCCACAGCCAAACACACCTGCCAGCCAAAGCCCACCCTGGGTATGAGCAAACGACTTGTTCTTATTCTCATACATAATATTTGTAAATCTAAACATATTTTTAAACCAGGCCAGGCCCCGGAGGGTCACTGTGCACTGGACTCCAAGAGACTGGAGTGGAAGAAAGACTGCACTGAACACCGCCTTGGACCGTGTGTATATAGCAGGTGTGGATGGGATTTGTTTTGGTTGGTTTGTTTTGTTTTTCCAAGGGCGGAGGACTGAACCCACAGCCTTTGCATGGTGCTACATCCCCAGGCCTTCTCACTATTTTGTTTGTTTGTTTTTATCTTAAGACAGTCTTGCTAAATTGCTAAGTTGCCTGGACTCCTTAAACAGTCAATCTTTTTGTCCAGTCTTCCAGAGCACTGGATGGCGGGTGTGGACCACCATGCCGGCCCATGGGGTATTTTATGAAGTATTAAAATAGAAGATATTTTCTGTGCCTGAGTTTTTTCTAAGACAACTGACAGGAAGGGTAAATACAGGCACCCTGAGACAGCCAGCCCTGCCATTGCAGCCTTCCCTAGCCATCCAAGCTGTGGCTTCAGGCTGGGCCAGGCTCACCCAGCTCTTCTGGCTGCCCCACCCTGGCCCATTCCTTCTCCTTTCCAAATCACCTGCCAGCTACTGGCCAGAAGTCCAGAGCCGTGGCCCAGTGCGTGGATCCACCCGGCTCACCACAGCACGATCTGGTCGGGCTCAGGGGCTTCTTGAGTATGGGAAGCACAGAGCCTGAGCAGCGCCTCTGCCCCTCCAAAGGAAAAGGGTAAGAGCTGTGTGGCCTCGTGGAGTGTGCATGTGTACGTTCATGTGAGTGTGTCCCTCTGTTCCTGTTGCTCACTGACACCCGGCTGAGGCCACCCCAGCTTGCTGTTGTCAGCTCGCCTGGCTCTGGGCACCCTGAACCCCCTACCCCTCCATATGGTCTAGGCCCGGGGTCCTCGGCCTCTTCCAGCTCCAAGATGCCCCTGCTGGCCTGTGTCCTGGTGTCCCAGTGCTGTTCTTTTTATCAGGCCAAACCCATACCCCAGTGATGCTGGAAAGCTGCTTGGCCCAGAGATCCTTCCTGAGCTAGGGTGGCCTTAGATCTCCTGTGTAACCATGACCATGCATCTGTGGGAGGGCCCTGCATGTATGCTTGGAGCTGGGGGTTTGAATGTGGGGACAGGGAAAGCCATCACAGACCAGCAAGTCCTGGCACATTTCCAGCCCACAGGGCCCTGCCCCTCCCAGGTCACCAGGGCCTGACACTGCAGTAGCAACTTGGGGTGGTGCCTGATGCCCTGTGGAGCCCTAGCCTGGCCCTGTCTCCATAGCTTCTGCAGGGAGGCTCCCCAGTGGGGCCAGAGCCCCGGAAACATAATCCTTCTCTGCTCTGAGACCAGACGGAGAATGCATTGCAGCTTCTGGTGACACTGGCAGCCCTTTGTGCTTCCTGGCATAAGGCTGCCTCTCTCTGTCCCCTGCCTGCATGGTTCCCTTTTCTATGTTGATCTGCATAGGTCTCTCCTCTTTTGCACTATCTTTTCTTTCTTTCTTTTTTTTTTTTTTTTTTGAGACAGGGTCTCTTTATGCAGTTCAGGCAGGCCTTGAGCTCACTCTGTAACCCAGGCTGGTCTTGAACTCACAAGAGCCTCCTGCCTCAGCTTCATGAATGCTGGGATTACAGGTGTGTGCCACCACCCGCGGTGCATTTCCCTCTTTTGATAAAAATGTTATTAGACTGGGTCCAGCTGACATCAGTATTGTGACCTCTACACCATGTATCCAAGTAAGGTCACATCCCAGGCTGGCAGGATTAGGACTACAGCCCCCACCATGTGCCCTTCACTGAAGCCTCTGGGCAGACTCTGCTGCCAATTTTGTGCTGCATCACTTTTTCTAGCAGGTGGCAGCCTCAAGCCTTGAGCAAAAAAGTGGATGGATTACAAGCATCTTTTGACAACCGGAGATAAAATGGGCACCCAAGCTGAATCAGTGCCCAGTGCCCCACTCCCATGACTTCAGAGGGACTTTGAACAGATTGGAAAGGTCACATGCCTCTAAAGAAGGCTGAGTGTGTGGCAGTGGGTGGCTGCCCCGGGTAGCAGTCACTGCCAACTGCTGCCAGGCCATGGGTGGCATTAAGGTGCCGTGCTGACCTTGGAAAGGAAAGGAACGGTCACTAAAAGTCTGTTATTTGTCAACCTGAGCAGCTCCAGAGGCCCTGGAGCAGTGAGAGAAGCAGGAGTGCAGTGCTGCTCAGTGGAGAAAGCCCTGACGTCAACAGCTGAGCACATGAGAGCGCTTCATCAGGTGCTGCTGCTTAGACCCAAGATGTGCACTCTGGTGAGAGACACCTGTCAAACTCTCCAGCGGTGGGTTTCTGCTGCTGCAGTGCAGGCCAAGCTGGCACCAGGGGTAGGGGAGGAGCTGGGGAGCAGCTGGTAAGGAGTCTTGCTGGGTCCAGAGATGGTGTCATCAGGGGCTGTGGTGACTTCAGGTCCCAAGGCCTTTAGGGAGTGACTGGAGGCAGGCAGAGGGGGCTGCCAAAGGAGTAGGGCTGGGCCCTGGAATTCTGGGACGTGTCCTGCCCACATTTCCATGTCCTCCTGCAGCTGTGCCTGGGCCAGGTGTTGTGCCAGGTACAGGGCCTTTTCCTGGCCTGGCCGTCAGCTGTTTCCATCAGTTTTCTGACACGTTCACGGTCTCAGGGAAAGAGCTTGGGGGCACAGAGGCACTAAGGTGGGAGCATTGTCTCCGCAGGGCCCTGGACCTGGGGCTGAGCAAAACAAGGGCAGCAATGGCCACAGATAGACCATAGTCCACAATTACAGAGAGGTGGCCCCCCACCAATGTGTTCGTCAGGACAGTATTTGTGAGGAACACCTATGCAACCATCTCCCAGCGTCTCCCCTGGTGCTTGCTTGCCTGTCCAGGGTGCTGGGCCCCCAAAGACCTGACAGCTGGGCTGTAGGAATCCAAGCACCTGCACCCTGGCACCTGCCCTGATGGATAGAAGGAACAGCTGGGAGCAGTGATCTGGTGACAGGGAGGGTGATACTGCAGCAAATGTCACTGCTCCCCTCCCAGGCTCTGTACCCTACTCCAGTGGACCAGGGTCTGGACTTGCAATAAGAAAGCAGACTGGGATCCCCAAGGGCAGGGCAGGAGTGGAGGAGCTGGGTGGCCAGCCCCTAGGAACAGTCCGTTACTCCTCCCTTGTGTGGGCCGGCAGATGAAGCAGGTGGGATGAGTCAGCAGCCCCCTAGGGCTTCAATGTCCAGCCTGCCCTGCCTCTGCAGGAGGCCCCATGAGTGAAACACAGCCCCCCATGAGTGGTGCAGTGTCTGCCCTGGGCACCACAAGCCTCAGTCCCTCTGGAATTGGTATTGGGGAAGAGGATCACAGGGTTGCGTCTTCAGACCTGGGTTGAGGACAGGCTGATCGTGGGGACCAGTATCTCCTGACACAGAGCCACTGTGTCTTCTCATTGGATCCCTGACATAAAATACTTCCCATGACAAAGAAAGGTCTCTGTGGAAACAGTTGGCCTCCGAGGGGACTCTCCCAGGCCTCTCCCTGGGAAGGAATGCACTGGATGGGTATGAATGGGATGCTGTGTCATGGAAGTGAGATGTCACTGACACAGTGTGTCATTGACACAGCCACCTTTATCCTACCTGCAGGGAGGTAGATGCAGCCTCTAGGAACAGCTCAGGACTATCTTTCTCAGGTTTAAATTTGCCCAGATGCTCTATCACAATCTCAATGCATCTTCCATAGTAGGCCATCTTCCTGGGCAGGACCCTGAAACAAACCACCACAGGTGATGTTCACCACAGCCTCTGGGTGCCAGCTTGGCCTTGGGACATTCCCCATTGTTGATGGGAAGCACACCAGAGTGCCAGGGACCTTGATGGTGAGGAGCATTGATGTAATTGGGGCCCTGGCTCAGGTGTACTGAGGCCCTGACCTCTGTCACCTAAGTGGCCTGGGAGAGACTTGCTGAGCTCACCTCCCCATCCCCTATTCCTGCCCAGTCCCAGCCCAGCCCCTGAAGCACCAGGCTGCTCCATGAGCCACGCTGAAAATGGGATGAAGCTGGGAGAAGGGCTAGGCCGTGGAGCTCAGCCCAGGTAAGGCAAGAGGTGGGGGAAGAGAGTAGGGAGGGTGGCAGTTGTGATGTGACAATTATCAACTAGATCAGAGTAAGAGACTCTGGAGAGGTAACTCTGGAGGTGATTGGACTTGGGGAATGCTCATTCCTCAGTGGATTAACCCACTGACATTCACAGCTGAATTCACTGGTTGGAGGTGGCTCCTGGGGGTTGTCTTTGGAGGGTACTTTGCTGGCCTTTTTGCCATACTCTGCTTTCCAGTTGCCATAAAGTAAGCAGCCTTGCTCTGCCATACCCTTCCACCATGATGTTCCTGCCTTGGAGCAGCTGACTATGGACTGAATTCCCTGAAACCATGAGCCAAATAAACCTCTCTTCCTTGAAGTTGTGGGTACTGGGTATTGTGTTCTCACAATGAGAAAGCTGACCAACATGGCTATTTAATCAGAGGGCCCTGTGAAGAGGGGGACCAAATCATAAAAGGTTGAGATCCCCAGGTCCAGCACCTTTACTTTAAAGATGAGGTAACTGAAACCCTGGCCTAAGTGGCAAGGCCTTACAGAACACTGAACATTCTAGAAACATGCCAGTTGGGGGACATGGGTTTTTCAGGTCCCTCCTGGGGTGAAGACTGAGAGAAGACACTTGAGATGAAGATAGGTCCCTGAGAGCTGGCTCTCCTAACCACTGGTGGTCCCTAACTGCCCTAGAAGAGGTAGATATTACACATAAAGGCTCCTGGAAGTTTGGGCTATAGTCAGTTCATTTAGGACAGCCACAGCAGTCAGAACCCCTCCCAACATGGGCTTAATTCCCACCTTCCTCCCACCATCTCTCATCTGTCACTCTGGGCCAGCTGAGTATGCAGGCCCTTCTGGCCAAGTGATCAGGGAGCAGCCCCAGACCAGACTATAACCAGAAATGACTGGGAAATCAATGTGGTCAGGGCCCCAGGAGGTGACCAATCCTGACCAATCCCAGCCAACCCCATCCAACCCCAGCCAATCCTGCCAGGTTCATGGTTGGTCTTCCCCTCCCTGTCCCCATGAGGCTGTGGAAAGCCATAGAAAATTACTTTGAGCATTAGGGAACTATTCCAAAAGATCCCAATTCCAATGCCCTGGAGTTCCAGAAACAAGAGAGAGAGAAATAAAACGAGACAATGCCCAGAAGGAATCATGAATTTCTAAGCTGGAAACATCACTGAATGATTTTAGTGTGCATCAGGGTTGCAGAGCAGCCTTGGTTTCTGTTGGTGAGGACCCAGGGGAGTAACTGCCAGCCCCAAGGTCTTGCCCATCCTCAGGAGCAAGCCCAGGGAGGAGATGCCTTACAGGAAGGAGATGCAAATGACCGTGGGCATCACTGCATGAGTGGCAGGACAGACATTTAGGAGTCTGTCCTGGATGCTTCCCTGAGCAGAGAGGGAAAGAGGCTGGGACATCTGCGTGCCCACCATCACTGGCTGCACCCTGGGTCCTGTGTGACTGCTCCAGCACCAGCCTCTGCTCTGCATGACACAGCCAGCAGCAGCCTCTCTGAATGAGGGGAGAGGAAAAAGCCCTCTGAAAATGGGCTTGAAGCTCAAGTGCCACCAACAGGCCCTGGAAACCTGGTCCCTAGAGCCATGTGAATAAGTGAGTTGCTAGCATGACCAGGACGCCATCCCTGCCCTGGTTCACTTAGCACTGGGTCCCCTTGCTCCATGGCTGGAGACCATGGAACAACCTCGCTGTGGTCTCCTCCCAGGCCAGTGTGGTCCTGATGACATGGCAGGGGACAGACAGGGGCCCTCTAGCTTGGATGCTACCAGCATAAATCCACTCAACAGACAAATCCACAGGCACTGAGCCATGGTCTCTGCAGCTTGGTGCAGCCCTGTGCAAGACAAGGTTTGTTCAAGGCCACTCAGTGCTCCTTCCCCTCCTCTTACCACTTCGGGCCACTCAACCACCTCCAGTGAGTATCCTAGGGGTGCCGCTCAGGCAACACCTTCAGCAGGGGGATGCACCCCTCCCTGCCTCCTCATCCACAATACACTTAGAGTGGGGCTGCATCGTGACAGGTGTCACACTCAACAGGTGTTGCAGCCTCTTTACTGTGGTGTCCTCTCCTGGGAGGGCTGGGAAAGCCAGGCAGCTATGACACAGCCAATTCCAGTGGGAGTCACTGGCCCTGGGGACCACAGCTAGGTATCTGGGGCAGAAAGCACTTTTGCCTGGGGGGCAGTGTTGTTTCTGTGTGAGTGTCACTGGGATCCTGGGGACAGGGGGAGGAAGGCAGCTCAGCGATCTCATTCCCATCATTACCACAGTCATACACATCCAGGTACTTTTAAAAACTGGACAGTTTGCTGGGCATGGTGCACACACCTGTGATCCCAGGGCTGTGGGAGGCTGAGGAAAGAGGATTATGAGTTCAAGCCCAGCATGGGCAACTTAGCAAGACCCTATCTCAAAATTAAAAATAAATAGCTAAAAAAGGCTGGGGATGTAGCTCAGTGGTACAGCATCCCTGGCTTCAATCCCTAGTATCAAAGAATCAAAATTAACACCAACCAACCAAAAAATCCTCCACATAGTAACTAGAGTCTTTGGGGTGCAGTGAGAGGTAGGCCACTACCCCCAGTCAGGCAGGGCAGAGAAGGCACAGGTACTGCTGGCACTGAGGAATTCTGGCCTTTCTTCCTCGGGCAGCTATTATTGGGGGTAGACAGGGTAGGGCCCCTGGCAGAGGCAGAGCATCAGGAACGGCCCTGGGCATGGCTTGAGGGTGGGCTGGCCCATCTGGAGACAGAGGCAGGTGTCTGAGTGGCTTCACTGCCTGCTGGGCATTCAAGGACCAGTGCTTGGTGTCTCTGAGCCCAGTCTGAGGTTGGTTAGGGACAGAGGGCCGCAGGTACTGAGAGCCAGGTGTCCCTGTGGTGGGGAGGGAAGGAGGAGCTGGGAACAGGGCAGGAGCTCTAGTGCTGTCTCTGGGTTGGGGTAACCCTTACAGCACCTTGGAGGTGAGTTTCTGCCCCGGCTTGTTCTGTGGTGTTACCTGCCATGCAGGACCTACCCTTTGAGTACGGCTATGGGCCCTTTGTCCCACCCAGGCTCAGTCTGCAGTGGAACAACCCTACACTCCAGGACCCTCCTTGAGGGCACTCCCAGGTCCTGCTCCTCAAGGCTTCCGCCTCACATGCAAACCTTGATGCGCTCTGCACTGTGGAAAATCTGTTTTTCTCAGTTGGGCAGGCATGGACAGTCTGGGTGCTCAACACATGGGGCCACAGGGGCCTGTCCTTTCTCCCTTGTCACAGGGGAGGTGATGTGAGAGCTGGGGTGTCCTGCTGAGGGCCTCCAGTGGTTCCCTTGTGATCAGTCAGTCATGAGGTCAGGGACACCCCTATCCATGTCCTGAAGGACACGGCTGCATGGGTGAGGCCTTAAGCTAAAGCCACCACCAGCCTTTGGCTCCTCCTGATCCACCAGCATCCAGCAGATGGCCACAAGGCTCTGAATCCCAGGCTTCCTCCCCAGCTCTGGGGTGCGGTGGAAGGGTCTGGGGAGGAATGGCCTCAGGGCTCCACTCCATCCACCACCAACAAAGCCCCCTCCACAGTGGAGGCCCCCCCACCCTCTTGGCATTTTAGCAGTCCCTTCCTACAGGGCTCCTAGACCCCAAATAATCCTCCTCTTCTGGTGGATACCCTGTTGTGCCCTCTGATGTCAAGTGAGGGCCATCCCCTCCCTACTCTGGGAGCATGTGGGCGGGCCCTGCTGCTTCACCCCAGCCTGGCCCTTACCCCAGAGCGGGAACCTTGCCAGTGCCCAGAAATGCCTGGAATCTATGGCGAGGGCAAAAACAGAAAAAGGACCACATACCCTCAGCCATACTGCCCTTAGCTTAGCTTTAAGAGATGACTTTCTCAGTCAGGAGTAGGACTTCAGAGACAAACTGAGCAGAGAGGGAAAGAGGCCGGGACATCTGCGTGTTACAAACTATGTTTTCTAAAGCCTTTATTTACAGGGATCCTTTGTTTATAGTGTCACAGAGTAAAATTTTATCATCATGCTTAAGTGGGAGATAGAGGCCACAGGAGAATTTTCTAAGGAAAGAAGAAAACAAAGTCTGCATTGAGCAGGGTTTGGGATGGGTTAGGGTGGGGGCTCTCTGGCTCCCTAATTTTCTCCCCATGTGAGCCCAAGGCCCGGGGTGGCTCACTCCTTGCCTGACCCCTGGTGACCCCTCAGGATGAGCCAGCCCTTCATGGGAATCAGGAAAATAAGCTCTGTGGAATCCAGGAATCCAAAGGAATCCAGAGGAATCCAGAAGAAAGGCGTAAACATGGGCAAAAGTGTGTTTACAGTGTTGGGTGAGCTTTCTTGTTTCCCCACAGCCACAGAAGGAGCTGCAGCATGGGGATCCCTCCCCCAGCATCTGCTTGAGGTGTGGCTCGGCGTGCATGCACATGCATGGGAGGTGCTCCTAGGCACAGAGTGGTCTGTGCCCTGTCCATCTCCTGCCCTGCAGTTTGGACCATTCAGAGGAAAGCATGGCCCAGGCACTTGTGGGGACAGCAGCCAAAGAGAAGCCAGGAACCATGCCACGCCCTCCCACGCCAGGGCAGGCTAGGCTGCAGAAGACCTGGGATGGAATTTGTGGCTAAACCGAGGTGCCTCTCTGAGCCTAGCTTGACTCTAGTCACCAACCGTGCAACTCTGGTACCCTGACTTCTGGCACACAGCAAGTACAGCATTAGGAGGGGCATGAGAAAAAGGATGCTTGGATTCTGAATTCCCCCTAATGCTGCCTGTGATTTGGTTCAGAACAGTCACATCTTTGAGTAGGAAATGTGGGAGGTGGGATTTAACTTCCAGGCTTGCTTTTTTCTCGTATTGATTTTCTATTCCACTAATCAGGACTTGACCGTTCCCACTTAAAGCAACTTGACAGATGGGCTGGAGTACAACTTCTCTCCCCTTAGTAACCCTAATAGACAGAAGGCATATAGGAGGAGGTTTAAATTCCACGGACAAACCAGCTCAATGTTCTCAGTCACCAGAGATTCCTCATTTGCATAAGACCCCAAAAGTATGTTAATTAAAATATGTTCTTTTCCCATGATTAAAGCCAGTCTCCTGAGGCTGCTGCCAAGTCCTGCTCCAATGGCTTATGCTTAAAGCACAGCCTCAGGTGGTAGATTTTGCTACTTGCTTTTCAATTTGACTCTCCCCTTCCTCTTAACAAAATCTCAGTTTTTAGTTGGGCCTATTGACACTCAGCTGAAAGATGACATTTCCCAGTCTCATGACTAAGTACTTGACCTCTGAGAAACAGGGGGGTGTGAGACTTCTCGAAAGTCTCTCTCAAAGGGAAAGGAATATAGCCTTTTCTTTTTCATGTTCTGCCTGGCCTCAGGAGGCAATGGCAAGAACTCAGGCAGTCATTCTGGATTGTGAGAAAACAGGAAACAATTGACTGCTAGAAAAGTTGATCTCTGATGGTGGGGTGCTATACCTACCTGCAGTACTGTTTCTCTGTGGGCCTCTTTCCTGGAAACATCTGTGTGGGCCTCTATGATGTGAATTTTTTTTGCATGCAGCTAACTGAACTTAATTCTAATGGATATATCTGCCTCCTTGAGGCCAGCCTTTAAGAGTACAAGTTCAAAGTATGAAGCCTAGGAGAGGAGCTTCTGAGCAGCGGTACGAGCTTAGACCTTGGGATCAGCCAAGTGCAGAGGACAGCCACTCATCCAGAGGACAATGACCCACAAGTGTGCTCTGAGTTCTGCTCGAGGGAAGAGCTTTATGGGAGAAGACGCAGAGAGTTTTTGGACATGCTGAATTTGAGGGGATTGGTTAGTGGTCCAAATGGTGAAGAACAGGCAAACAGGTTTGAAGCCCCAGAGTTTAGGCTGAGATGGAAGTTTCTGAAAGGTTTTGGAGAAAATGGTTGTTTATAAGACCATGTGACATCCAGGAGGGGGGGGTGCAGGAGTGGCTTCCAAGGACTGAGTCCTGAGCCTGCAGGGTAGGCAGGTTGGGAGCAAAGAAACCCTTGGAAGGAGTTGTGGGATGGAGTTGGGAGCAAAGAGCATATCTCTTCCAGCCAAGTGAGGACTGCATGTCACCAGCAGAAGCGGCCAACTGGGTCACCTACTGCTGACAGCAGGAGGAGATGAGAGCTGGCCTGATGGCTAGATTTAGCAGCACTGAGGTCGAGGATGACTTTGATAAAGAACTTCAAAGAAGTGGCTGTGGACATTTGATTGGAGTAGGGTCAAGGAAGAACAGGCAGAACTGGAGCTAAAAGGTAGCGTGGAGGGGCTCTGCTCTTCAGAGACTGGGGAAGCTAGAGGGGATGGAGGTCCAATGGGTGTGGGGAATCTTGGGAGCCGGCTTAGCAGGAGGGCAGGGGGCAGGCTAATGAGAAGACGCAAGGAATGCCGCTGAATTCTGGGCAAAGGGAAGTCTAACCTCCTACTTTGGGTGTCTTCTATTTTTTGGGTGCTGGGGGTGGAGCCTAAGGCCTCTAGCCTGCTACATGCCAGGCAAGTGCTCTACCATTGAGCGATCAGCCGTGCGCGGTGCCTCAAATCTGCGCATTTTAGAACAGCCAAAGCACTGCTGCTTGGGGCGAGGGGACTGTAGGGAGGCTGCTGGACGCACGCAGAGCTGCTCACAGTTTGGACTCATCGCGTAAGGCCTGGGCACTTCCGCCTCTTTGCGCCTGGGTTTCCTCCCCCGTGAGTGGTCATTTTATTTTATTTTATTTTTTGGGGGGAGTGGTCATTTTAAGTAAGACTATCTATTATACTCATTTCCAGCTGTCATTGGCACTCAGATTTTGGTGATTTTATTTTTATTTTTTATTTTTTTGTCTTTTTCGTTTTTATCAGTACCAGGGATCGAACTCACTTGCAAGGCAGGCGCTTATGCCGCTGAGCTAAATCCCCAGCCCCGGTGATTTTAGTTTTAAAATTCTTTTAGTGTTTCCAGAGATCCAAATTAGGGTAGCCTTGAGAGAAGCAAGGCTTATTAAGATACGGGAAAGTGACTAAAAAGCGCCGAGTACAGAGGCAATTAAAGGAAAGGTAGTAGAAAAAGCAGCGTTAACTGTAATTGAGGAGCTGGGAAACAGATCAAAGACGTAAGTGGAAGCCAAAAGAGGGAAACAAGGGCGATGAGCACTTGAGAGAATGGAAAGTGTCCTCGAGCAGATCGCGATGGGGCCTGCGCCTGCCCTCACCCCGACCGACCCCGTACCTGCGCCGCCGGTCTTCTCTGGCTCCGCGTGAACCGCAGGTCCCAGCGCCCGCCGGGCCTGGGGACCTGCTGTACACAGCCCGCAGCCCTTCGCTAGGCTGGCGTCGTTGGCGCGGTGTTATCTAGCAACCGCGGCGCCGCGCGGGAGGCCGCACCCGCGGAGCGCACCGGGACATGTAGTCTGGGAGAGAGTCGGGACTGCGTGGGCGCGCCGGGCGGGGCGGGGCGGGGTGAGGCGCGGCGCCGCTAGGCACCGTGCGAGGATTGGCTGGCTTCCCTGCTGGTCCCACCCCCGGCTCACGGTGGGCTCGTGGGGCTCTGGGCGCATGTGCGGCGCTGGGCAGCCTTGACCCGCGGAGCTGCGTGGTGCCCGTGTGCGGCGAGGAGTCGCGCGCCCCGTGCTTGCGCCTGCCCGTGCGTCCGTGAGTCCGCGGGCCTGAGTCCACCCAGCGCCGCCTGCCAATCGAGCATCCTCCGGCCGCGCACCTGCTGCGCGCACCTGCTCGCTGCCACTCCGCGCTCCGACCCGCTCGCGCCTTGCCGGCCCGGCCTGCCTTCACGTCCGCCCCGCGCCGCCGCCCTCGGACCCGGGCGCCGCGCTGCGGAGGGCGAGGGCCGCCCGGAGCCTGGCCGGGCCGGCGCGGCGATGATGAACAGGTTCCGAAAGTGGCTCTACAAACCCAAGGTTTGCCCCCGCGCCGCGCCGCCGTCCCTTGACTGACGTCCTGCCCGCGCCCCAGTGAGGCAAACCCTTTCTGTCCTCGGCTGCCCCTCTCGTGGACCCTACTCCCCTTTCCTGGACTCTGAGACCCTGGCCGACCATCGTCGCTCAGGCACCGGCGCGGCCCCGAGTCCGGGCGAGACGGACCCCGCTCACTCTCGGCCTGGGTGCGCTCCCCGCTTCTGCCTGCGGCCGACCCGGTCCACCAACTCCCAGTCGCTCAGTGCCTTGCCGGATGGGACGCTGCCCGCCCCGCAGGGTCCCCGGCCCACCGGTCCAGGGAGCCACCTACCGCTTCTGGGTATCCCTCCCTGCACTGGGAATGCCTCCCTCCACCCTGAGCCACAATCTCTTGGACTCAGGATGGCTCCCCCCAATCTCTGCGCCCCAGAGCAGAGCCTGGACTCGCTTCCTCCGGGTTCCTAGTCCCCAGGTCCCCATATCCGTACATGCTCCCCTGTTGGACCTGGACCCCCAGCCAAGACACCCCTGGCCGATCGCGGCCCAGCCCACGGCCTCTCCAGAGCGGGACAAGGTCCTCTCCGGCGCCTGCAGTCCCCGCCCGGCGCCGCTTCACTCCCAGCTTCGGCCCGCGCCTCGGCGGCTGCGCTAGTCGCACTGCGGGCGCCGCGTCCCCGCCACCCGCTTCCCCCGGACTCGCGTCCGCTGCGTCCGGAGTGGGCCCTGCGCACTGGTCGGGCTCTACAATGCTGGTCCCGCCAGGAACCAGGCGGTCTTCGGCGTCCAGCGGTCTCATATCGCGGAAGGGTCCGGCGCGGGGTCCCGGAGGTGCGTGGCTTGGGTGCGGTCAGCGCCACAACGGAGGGCGGGAGTGCTGCCAGCTCCCTGGACTGGGCGTCTGAGGCCCCGCGTCTCCAGCCGACTCAGGATGCGCGACCCCTTTTCACGCCTCTTGGACCACTCTTTTGCCAACCTCTCAGCTCCAGTCCCTCTCCCAATGGTCCTTCGGGTGGGATTCCTTAAATTTATGTCTCTGAGCGTGCTTACACTGGGCAGCCCCACTCCCGAGGTTTCGGAGCAAGTTCAGGGAACCAGAGGGATAAGGAAGTTCCTTTGGGGTCCCAGAGTGTTGGGTTGAGAGCTTGCAGTGCAGGCCACTTCTCATTCAGTTCATCCCCCGCCTCAGATTTCCAGCCTTGCAAGTCCCTGGCCACACCCTGAGTGCCCAGCCCTCTCCTTGCCGCCCTGTGGGTCTGCAGGACCACACGGCTGCACCTGCATTGATGTTTGTACAGGAAGGAGATTTTCATTTGTGACTTTTTGTCACCAGCTAAGGGAGGCCCTAGTCCAGTTGTGAAAAAGTCATTTGTGAGTGGGCAACAGCGTTATTTTCTCAGCAGCAAATGGCAGCGGACAGACAGGGGTGTTTGTGTAGGCAAGTGGCAATCTGCTGTCTTTGAGAATGCCTGTGTTGCTGGGCCTCCGGTGGCCCTTTGCATGGCCACTGTGGGAGAGGTGGTTTCCAGGGTCATCCTCCTTAGGCTGCCCCTCAGGAACAGAGCATAAACATGAGCTGTTCATCTGCAGCGGAATATTTTCAGAGTGGCCTTGCCCACTTTAGAAGACTTTAAAAGTGGGACACGTTGCCACCCTTGACGGTGTGCCCTAGCCTGAAGAATCCTGGCCCTATATTCCCTTTTAACAGCCCTTTCAGCCACACTCCAGTGGTTGACCACTAGAAGAGAGGTGTGAGAAGTCTCTCCTCGGGCTGTGTGGCTAGGCAGGAGAGGGAATAAATACGACTCCATCCAGACCCCTACTCTGCCCATGGTGGTCCCTCTGCGTGCTGTTTCGTGTTTGTCCCTGGCCCTTGGACCTGAGCCATATCTTGGTCTCAGATTCCAGCTTCTGGCCGCAGTCAGCCCTGCAAGCTGCTGCCCAGTGGCCAGTCTGCACCTCATGTTTGAGAGCTGTCTTTGTAGTTAAGTATCCTGATTGTTTGGAAGGTTGGACTGTGTTACCTCTCGCAATGCTGTTTCATTTTTCAGACCAAAATTCAGATTTTTGCCTTGGGTTAGAAGTTGGATTCTATGCATCTTCCTATCTTACTGAACATGTTTTTGTACAGTGAGCCAAGTCAGTTCTGGGAAGAATCCCGGCTGGAGGGTTGAAGTGTTAGATGCTAGAGGAGGGAGGAGGTACCCGGGTGGGGGAGATTGTTGCCCACAGTTAGAATTTCTCCCACTTTTGTATGTACAATGCAGACTGCATTTTTAATTTGATCCCTGCTATAAATCTGAACACTGACTTTCTTCTTTATTATTACAGTGTGGTTGAAAATATTCCCAAATAAAAATCATATTCATTGTTCCAGGAGTTCTAAAAAGTGATTTGAAATGCTTAAAATATTTTCATATGACACAGATTTTGATGTCTGAATCATTAATAACTTCTTAAGTTGGGCAAAAAGTACCTGATGAGTAATATGATAGTTTAACATTCAAATGGCACTGCAGAGTTCATTACCATTCATTTTCTTAAAATCACCCTTTTAGGCACTTATGTGCTTTTTCTTGGTAGAGAGGGTGCCAGCATTTTAAGTACCGTCCTGCCTGTGAGGGCTGAGAGGAGGGGTAGTGTGTAGGACTCTACACCTGTTCTGGCTCTGCAGGGTGTTCTGTCATTTTTGGGATAAAGCCTTCTCAAGGAAGACTGATGCTTTAGGCAGGCGAAACATTGCCAGGTGTGGGTGCTTACCTATAATCTCAGCTACTTGGGAGGCTGAGGCAGAAAGATGGCAGATTTGAGGCCAGTTTGAACAACTTCATGAGAACTTGTTTCAAAATAAAAAATAAGAAAAGCTAGGATTCTCAATGAAAGAGTTTCCCTGGGTTCAATCCCTAGTACTGAAAAGAAAAGGGTGAGATATTTTGGAATAGTTGGTGTTTTCATTTGAAAGTTACCAGTGCTTGTGTTCCTTTCATGGATATGACTTCCTGCTGGCTGATCTGGGTAACTGTCTCTGGTCACCAGGAGGAAAGAAGTCCTGGCAGGGGCACAGGGACCCCCAGGCCTGCGTCATGCTGGGAGTTTGTGCCCATCACTACAGATGACCATCCAGGGTGAATCTGTGTTTTCTGTCTTTGAGCAGGTGATCTGCTGGGGGTGATGCTGGCTGGCAGACAGGTATGGTTAATGTGGCTAATTACCATATCAGGACCCCCCAGAGCTCTTTCATGTGCACCCCAAACCACTTCTGGAATAGGAACTGTTGGCTGTGGTTCCCTCCTCTGTAGAGGAGCATTCCTTATAATCTTCTTCACTGAGTGATCTTTGGACCTTGCTGTCAATATTCTGGATTCAGGTAGAGATGAGATGGCTTCGCCATGAGAACCTGAGAGCCTAGGGGGTGTGTTTTCCAGGAGAGCCCTTGGAGTCTGGGTGCAGACTTGAGGCCCCAGTGGGACCCTGTGGGCGCCTGGAGCAGTTTCTCTTGTGCCATGGCCCTGAGCTAGCTCCCTCTACTGGCCCTAGCAGGCGCCTGGTAAAAGTAGAGTCAGGATCCTCAGCAGTGCTGAGTCAGGCAGCTGGGCTGGCCCCAGGCTGCCATCTCTGTGGCCCTCGGTCCTCTGTCCTCTGTTTGGGTTAGCGCTGTACTCTGGTCATGGGGGGGCCCTCAGTGGGCAGAGCCTTGGGTGGCTCTGCGGGGCAAGGCAAAGCCAGCACGGGGAGGGGACAACATCTGTGAGACTGTGTCATCACACAGTCAGAGTGGTGCTTACTGGAAGTGTGCAGCGTGGTTTCTGTGCAATGAGTGAGTCAGGGGCTGAGAGTGGGAAGCTTCAAGTAATTGATGTTTGAACTCAGCAGTGTCCAGTGGACAGTCGCCTGGGAGAGGGGACCCAGGGCTGGGCGCTCTGCCCTGGCTTTCTGGAAGGGGAGGTGGTTAGTGATTGCATGTAGCCTGCCAAGGAGAGAGGGCTGATCTCAGGATATCTTAGTGCAGGATGGAGCTCCCAGGCATTCCTGAAACTGCAGAGAAGCTGGCTATTGCCATGCAGATGGACATGCCTGGGGTCCTTCAGCGGGCCCCAGCATCCTTCTCATTTGAGCTGACAGCAATGAGCAGCCACAATTCATCAGGGCACCAAGGCAGTTGGCCGTGAGCAGGCCCAGTTCACAGAAGCCAAATGTGTGGAGTGCTGTGGATGCTAAGTCTCCCGTTTCGCTTGTCTTGAGCTCTGTTCCTCTGTGGCTTCTCTGAATATCTCCGGGGCCACAGAGAGGGCAGTGAGGACATGCACTGTCCTTCTCTGACTGCTGCCTCAGTTTCCCTGGTTATGAAATGGAGCTGTTGGGAGCAGAGGCTCACATGCTCAGCAAATGAGCACAGTCTGTGTTGCCTGGGCTCACAGCTGGGTAAGGCAATACGCACTGTACGGGGCTGGCTCATAGCCCCATGGGGTTCAGAGTCAGAGTTTAATGGTGCCAGGGCCACCATGGCTTACATCTGCAGCCACGAGGTCCCGTGGGAGTGAGAGGGTCTCTGGAGGTGTGTGCTGCCCTCATTCTTTCCTTTGTAGGTGGCCTGTTGAGCTCTTGCTGGCCAAGATTGGACCCTGCTACCTCGGAACATCCCAGTGGGCTCAGGTATGAGGGATAACAGATGAGAAAGGTGCTGCCCTGGCTCACAGCTCCTTTGTTGTTGGGGGCCGGGACAGAATTTTAGCCAGTGTGGGCAGGATCCACAGCCAGCGCCGACAGTCTGCTGATAAACTGCTCCTGGCCTGTGTGTGCCGGGTGCTCAGAGTGTGGCAGAGGACTCTAAGTCAAGGGCTGGAAGGGATTGGGTCCACCCTCTCCCCATCCATCAGCGCCAGCATGCAGTGAGGCTGCAGTGGGGTTAGACTTCTCCAGGTTAGGCACAGAGCGCTGGAGTAGTTGCTTTTAGCTTTTTATGAGCACATGTTTGCAGTACATGATGATCACATTCCTTGTGAGAAGCTGGTGCACAAGCACAACCCATCTCCATTCTTTGTGGCCCTTTCCTCTCCTCCACTCCCCTTCCTCTCTTCCCCGCTTAGCTTCCTTTCCTCCCCCTTCCTCCCCTCCCTTTTTCTTCTCCCTTCTACTCCTCTCCCCCTCCATGTCTTGGTCATCTTCTCTGTCTCCTTTTGGGTGATTATTAGCTTTGAGACCATCCCCATGCACTCTGCTCGCAGGTGAGCCCTTGAGAGGACAGGGTAGCTTGCTGGACGTGATGGCCAGAGAGGCAGAGCTGGGATTTGAGCTTGGGTCAGGTGGACCCCAGAGCTGCATTCTGTCTGCACGCTGTCCCTTGCGTGTCACACAAACTTCACTCCCTGGAGGTAGGAACTGTAGCTGGCCTTGGTTTTCACATGGATTCCTTTTGGTGAAACAATGACTTTCGTGCTCTTCATAGTTGAATTGCAGAGAAACCCAGATATTGATGGGCAGGGCAGTTTGAAGGAGAAAGACAACAATGAATAGTTTTTTCTGATATGAATAGATTGAGCAGGAGTAGAACAGGACATTTTCTTTTCTTTTCTTTTCTTTTTTGTCTTTTTTGTTTTTATCGATACCAGGGATCGAACTCACAACTGTCTGCTTGTAAGGCAGGCGCTTATGCCGCTGAGCTAAATCCCCAGCCCCAGAACAGGAGGACATTTTATATTATGGTAATTTATATAGGAGAGTTGGGTAAGATGAATGGAGTGGTTTTTCCTTCCCGTAGTAAGTGTGTGGAAGCCTTTTCATTTCTCACTGTTTCCTGCTGGGTGGTGGCAAGGGACCGCAGGGACACTTCGGGCAGGGCCCCCTTCATGCCTTGGTCCTCTGGGCTCCGCTCTCTGCCAGGTGCCCTACTCTTCCTTCAATGTGAGTTAGACCCTGGCTTCCCAGGAGGGGGTGTGTAGACCTGAGAGGGACAGTGTCCATAAGGATTTCAGCCTTGGAAAACATTTCCCATAATTTTAGGGGATTAGGGGCATAAAAAGTCCATAAACATAGTGTCAGCTCCATGAACGTCAGGCATGTACTAATCACATACCGATGATGAATAGCTAAAGGAGGGAACACCCCAAGTGCCGGTCAGCGACTGAGAGGACGAACAGAATATGTTGTACCCTGCAGTGGAATATTATTCAGCCTTAAAATGAGTGAAATTCCAGTAGATGCTCCAAGCTGGAGGCACCCTGCAAACATGTGCTGAGTCAAAGGAGGAGGACACAGGAGGCCAGAGCTTGAGGATTTCCACTGTGCACAAAGCGTCATTTTTTTCAGTATTGGGGGTGAACCCAAGGGTCCTCTACCCCTGAGGCTCACCCCTAGCCCTTTTAAAGTACTTTTTTTGGAGGTTAACAATGGTTAATATTGTTAATATATTGTACATTGTTATCTTTTGAGTGGTTTCTCCTCCGTTCTCATTCAGAGTCCGTTGTACATTTTGGATCCTATTTACTTTTTCAGTTTTTTACACTAGGGAGACAATACGGTGTTTACATAAGGTAATTTTAAAATTTGGAGACACATTCTCACTTGTTTGCTCAGCTGCTCAGGCTGGACTCCTGTCTCAGCCACTCAGAGTGCCAGGTTTGCAGGCATGCCCATGATCCTGGCATGGAGCACTTCTGAGATTAATAGGAAAGGAGAACGGTGACCATGGTTGTGCTTCTGTTTTAGCACTGGGCATTGAGCCCAGGGGTTGTGCACATCCCAGCCTTCTGTTATTTACAGAGAAGGTATTACTCAGTTGCTAAGATGCTCCAGCTGGACTTGAACTTTGATCTCCTGCTAGGGTTACAGATGTGTGCCACTGTGCCCAGCCATAGTCATGGTTACGGAGATGCTTGCTGTCTGGCCCCTCAGCTTCAGTGGAGGCTTTTTGGGGACTCCTGCCAGCACAGCTCTGAGACCCCCTCTGCTACTGAAGATGGATGTCACACAGCAAAGGGTCTCTTCTGTGGTACCCACTCAAGGGCAGACACCATCCATACTACTGTCCCATGGGGCAGCAAGGTCAAGGCAGGTGAAAAAGGGTGTTTCCTGGGGTGTCTCCAAAATGGTCCATGCATGAGGGCTAGGCTGTGTGTGGGGTTAGGCAAGAAGGTACCCAGGGCTGGGAGACAATATCGCCAGCTAGGGGTGGGTAGGAGGTGGAGACAGACCAGAAAGCCTTGCTGTCGACTGTGGCCCTTTGGAGATCTGGGTGCCTGATTACGGTATGAGGCTTACATTGTCCTACCACACCTCTGAAGTAGAGGGCACAGGAAAGCCTGCAACACACATGAACAGTTGCTCTCTAAAGGGCGAGAATCAGCCAGTAGGAGCAATGGGGGTAACAGGAAGCCGGGTGTAAAGGGACAAGACAGGTGACAATAGGCTGGGACCATCAGGGCACATGAGACCCCCCTGAGTGGGAGGCAGAGACCTCTAGAAATGCAAACAGTGGTCACTGAATTGAAAACAAAATCAACCCAAGGAGTTGAGTTGTCCAGCAGCTGCAAGGGACAGGAGACCGGAGAGGAACCTCAGGGAGGTAGAGCACATCCAAGGTGCTGAGAAAGGAGGAGGCTCAGGTGTGTATGGTGGAGTCTCAAGGGAGATATGGGAAGAAAGAAAGGGCTCCCTGTCCTATGCTGGGAAGTCCTCAGGTCGAGTGACTGGGTGCAGTGAGCAGCTGAGTACAGCAGGGATGAGAGCTACCTGTTACCATGGCAAAGGGCAGCGGTGTGGCACAGCCTTGGCCTATGGTGGGGGTGGAACAGAATGGCCAGTGCCTCACAGGCTGGCCCACAGGCTGCTGAACTGGGGCCCCAGTGCTGCGAAGCACAGTTTCTCTGATGATTAAAGGGAGCAAACTCAAAAGTAGTCCTGAGTGTAGCTGAGCTGCCATTCACAGGGGCGAGTGAAATAGAAGACAGTTTTAGATCAAGACAGAAAAATAACCACCCCCAAATCCTTGCCAAAGGAGCAAACAACTGGGAAAAGCACTCCAGAAGACAATCAAAGTTGCCGGAAGGTGTGGGAGGTGCGAAGCAGGCGCAGGCGTTGGGAGCATGTGAGCACATCCGGAGAGCAGCCACAGCTTGCTGCTTGGAGGGGGACCAAGGGCAAGGTGACGGGAATTCTGGAGAGATGCCCAGGAGGGCCAGTGCTGCCTGGAGGTCCTCCATGATGTAGGCTGAGGCTGACATCAGACCCCGAGTACAGTGTGTAAATTAACAGAAGGCAAACCTGCGTTGAGAGATACTGGCTAAGTAATTCCCAAGGGAAAGGGTGGAAAGAACCCAGGGGAGACACTGGTCTTGTGGGGCAGAGAGAACGGAGAGGGCAGCAAAGCAGAATCACAGTGAATGCAAAGTGACCATTAGCACTGCAGGAACAGTTGCTGACACGGCTGTCACAGTAATGCCGGGGAGCAGGCACACCTAGCCAAGGACAGGGACAGGGCTTAAGAACTCAGCTGTGCACCCATGGCAGAAGATGCTCTTCAGGTGGCTCCTGCAGTGGCCAGGATAGGAGTAGGGCTGGGAGGTGGCGCCATGCATTTCCCCAAAGCCAGGGCACACGTCTGTCAGGAGGCAGCTGCCATGCAGTGTGGGGGGTGGGGGGGGGTGAGGCTTCTCTTGTGTTTCCCACATGCAGGCCCTCAGTCTCCTGGCTGCTCAGGAAGGGGACAGGAGGGACACACAGGCCTCACGACCCCCAGGCCTTGGGTGGCCCTCCTGTGGTGGCCTATAGCTCGACAAGTTGGCCCTGCCTGTCTGCCTCTACTGGATAGGCTGTCATTGAGGCTGTCCTCAGAGGTCCCTGGAGGGACGTGGTTCGGGATGTCTGTGAGAAGCACTCAGAGCACTGCCTTTGGTAATGGGTGACCTGGGGTCCATCTCCTGCACCTGATGGGGTGCTTCTTCCTGGCGTTCTCTGTCTCCCACGTTGGCTGGGGACTTCTTCAAGGAGAAGACAGTGCTCGGGAGAGCTTAGGAAGCACTTGCTGGACCTAGTGTAAGCTAAGGGCGAATTCCAAAACTTTCACTTCTTTCTTCCCCACGCCTGAGGTTGTGCTGTGGGGCTGCTGCATGATGGGCAGGAGGTGGTCACACTTGGATCTCACTGGCCACGCTGCACCCAACAGGATTCTGGAGGACTTTGTAGACCTGGGACATCTTTATTCTTTTGTGGTCTTGATCATTTCGGGCCTGTACTTCAGCTTCAGGCAGTGAGCTGGGGCCGCTGACCTGCCTTGGACTTGAGCGCTGACTGGGAGCAGCAGCCTTTGAGAGGGTGGAGCTGAGACTCCTTGAGACTTAGGTGTGGTGACCCCCAGAACCAACCCCGGATGCCCAGGAGAGCTTGGTCTCCACTCTGTGAAGGTTGCTGCCTTGTCTTCGGGGTTATTATTGTCTACGCTCCGGGGCATCGGGTGCCAAATACTGCAGCTCCTTCTGCTCTTGCAGCTGGGCCCTGGCCTGGGAGGAGCAGCTTTACCTTGAAAGTGGCTGGGGATCTGATGAGCTTGGCAACCTGGGATGGAGCATGGGAGCTGGCAGTGCCCCGGAAGGACTGGCCCTGCTTTTGCACCCTGCCTTGCTTGTGCTTCTGCTGCGTCACTGGTTGGGCACATATCC